TCAAGGACTTTTCAGCTTCCCATGCTCTGCCCGGTGCACAAGAAGATGGGAGGGGGCACAGCCAGGACAGCTGACCCAGGCTGGCCAAAGGGCTATTCCATACCATATGACGTCATGCTCAGTATATAAACTGGGTGGAGTCGGGCGGGGGGCAGTGATCGCTGCTTGGGGACGTGCTGGGCATCGGTTGGCGGGTGGTGACCAATTGTATAGTGTATCACTTGCTTCGTATATTATTATTGTATTATTATATTATTATTACTACTATTCTATTTCATTTTACTTCAATTATTAAACTGTTCTTATCTCAACCCACAAGTTTTCTGACTTTCACCCTTCCAATTCTCTCCGCCATCCCACTGAGGTGGGGGGAGTGAGCGAGCGGCTGTGTGGTGCTTAGCTGCTGGCTGGGGTAAAATATTTTGTAAATATTCACCACTTACATGTCTCTTCTGCATTAGTAAGCTGATATTTGTAATTAGTTAAATATTTGATAAGGGTTCATGTCAGACTGATTTCTTTCATAGGAATGAAGTAGGAGCAGAGGGAAGAAAGGAAGTAGAAAGATATTTTCCCAAAAAGGGAAAAACAGAACAAAAATAAAGTCATGACAAGTCAAGACAAATCTTCCTATGCTGCAATATGCCTTTTAAAAAAAAATAGTTCTGTCAACTCAGCAACACTGAAGAAAAAAAATTCACAACTTGACAGAGGTTCCCTGAATTTCTTGCTCTGCACTCGCTACATATGAAAATATAACATAAAGAACAGGTGGTTTAGAAAAAAAGGCTTGGGGACATAAGCTTAAACCATTATTGTACAGACAGTGTGCTATAAAAATCTAAAGTTTACACATAGATTCCGCAACTTATGTTTATGTAGTAACCTTAAATACACACAAATCGCAAGTAAATGTGGACTGTGGACTATGGACTATTTCCTGAAATTCTTCCTTTGCAGTTAATAGTGATTTGAGATTTGTCACTGAATTATACTTAAGTTCATAAAAATTCCACATATCAGAAATTAACCATTTACCTTCTATTTGGGGTACTTCTCCCTGAAGTTTAGCCTTGCTTGTGAAAGGTGCATTCTGTAGCACCAGTGCAAACAGTGAAGGAATCAACGACTGCAGAGCAGACAGATACATGTGGAGCTTATGTTCATCCAAGCCATGTTCTCCTTCCTGAAACAAACAGGACATTTACTTAAAGTTTTCAGTTTGGATGATCTGTTGCTTAGGCATGTATTCTCTGGCAAGAAATCAACACATCTGTGATGAGCTTCTACACAGACACTAATTATATAGTAATTTATCCTAACCACAAGCTTACTTTGTGTCACCATCCAAAGCCCCTTAAGTCACTTCTACTCAAAAGATTCAAGCAATATAGCCTTTGGCATTTAGTAGTTCATGTCAATGAACATACTGATATTCTGAAAGAACATTTTTCAGCACATTTTGGAAATGTGAATTCTTGGTCTCAGAGACCAATGCATCTAAAAACTGAATAAACTAGTTGCCTGTACTCTGAAAACAAGCATCTTGGTTAAGCGTGTTAGATCATTATGAGATAACCCATTTTCCAGAACTTTCCAGATATCAAGTGTGCAGACAAACTGGTTCATAACTGCAAAGAAGCTAACTAAAGCATTCAATTCTACTTAATTTTTTTTTTTAATAAATATTGCACTTTATTAAAGACTACACTACGTGACACTTAAAAACAATTTAAATATAGGGCAAATGCACTCAGAATAACATGTATTACCTGGTCACAGCCCCAGGCAAGTGTTTTCTGAACGGCACTTTGATTATTGGGCTATAAAGCAAAACATTGTTGAAGAAGAATATGTTTGGGTTTTGGTGTTATGTTCTTTTCCTTCTTCCAAAGGACAAGTAGAAGTTATGGAGTTACAACAAGAATCTCCAGAAAATTCTTCCCCCGTAGAACATTAAGTAGCAATTATTTACATTTTTTTTTTTTTTAAAGCCTGCATATGTAATAAAGATACAAAGAAAATTCCCCAATGTAGAAACAGCTGAACACATACCCTGAGCAATTTTTCAATTTTATTAAGCAGTGTAGGTATAAGATGGAACTGTAAATTTCCCAATTCTGTTGTCCAGGCAGCATAAGCCGGTAAAAATACCTGATGCGTTGCACTAACTACACGTTCTGAAGGGTCTCCTAAAGCTGAAAGCAGCAGTTCAAAGCCCTGGCAAAAGACAATAAAGAGTGTAATTATTTTCCTAAAATTTATCCTAAAGTTTCCCATACAAAACATGCAGACTAGAAAAAGATTATCATCTATTTTTAAAACTTTACACTAATAAAAACAAAACAAGGTAGTACATGGAGGCATTTCAACAGATATTCCTACCACATCTACAAAGGTAAACAGTAGGTGGTTCAATTATTCTGCAGGTATTTCTCTACAGTCAAGTTCTCAGGACCAATACAAACACATTTTACCCCTCTGCCTTCAAAAACTCCAAGACAGGATTAGAAGTTCTTCATTTTCACTTATCTGAAACATTATTAGGCGGTATTAAGTTGAACTACAAGTAGGCTTGATATCAAATTGGCTAATGGTATCAGGTGGGCAATGAAGTGGTATGGTCTTGAAGGCAAATTATGAATTATTAGAGAAGCTTCTGTATAAGGCTTATACCTGAGGTTCTAATGATGCTTATATGTTTTCTTTTTGGTCTTGGTGATACAATAAAATCGACATTCATAAAAGCCATCAACATTTTTAAAAGTATCTGGAAAGATTTAATAAAAATACATGAAATTATGCGTCCCCCTATTCATGAATAACTATAGAAGACATTTTATACATACAGAACCCGAACCAAATTATACCTGTTGATACTTGTCTGGATCATCAATATATCCCATAATGATGCCAAGGCTTTTGATAACAGCTTCTCGTACCAGATCTGCCTTATCTTCCATTAGCATCTGCTGCAGCATGGAAAGTACTAATGAACTACGAATTTCTTTCTGTTTGCAGACAAGAAACATACTTGTTAAATCCAATGAAACAAGACATGTGCGTTTATATCAATTTTTATAAATAATTTGCACTTCTATTAGTGCTCACAAACAAAATCTTTTCCTCCAACCATAGATCCCTTTATGAATATTATACATTCAGTTTTCACAACAGAAGATGAATGAATATAAAATGTCAGTAGCCTCATTAGAGAGTCTTTTGTCCTACTAAGCACAGAACTCAGGTCCTTTAATTCATATTGAACTAAAAATAACTCACAGCAAAAAACTACTACAGGCCTAGACTTAAAACAGAATCTTTAATCACTGCATTGCTGAACTGGAGAAGTGGGTTTTTAATTTGGGTTATTTTCCTCTTTCTCTGAAGCTTCAAATTCTACTTTGTCACTGACTTAATTTTGGTGCTTCTTCTGACTGGCAGCACTCTTCATGTAACATTCCACAGTGTCTGTATAACTCTATTATTGGCTGCCAATTATTTTTTCAGAGATTATTTCCTTAATTGGTCCTAACTATCTTTACTTCATCTTTACTGAAGCAAAGATGATTTTTTTCAGAACATACTGCTTTTGTAGACATCTTATAGCTAGATTGACCTGTATTCCTTTATAATAAGCTATCTCCTCCTTAATGTGATTTACTGAATCTCACATGCATGATATTAAGTATGTTTTAATGTGACTCTCTATGCATAACAAACACACTTTGGAAAATTTAAAATGATAAAGGGCGTTTATATTATGCAACAGATTTTCACCTGGCTTTCACTAGCAAAGTATTTAGAGTCAGTATTAATACTTACTGGAAGGTAAGGGGCTAGAGCTCCACAGGATTCTGCTACCAGTAGCCGTCTCTCTGGGTATTTGTGGTTAATCTGGTAAAGAGAAACAGAATGGCTATTTGCTTTGCAGTAACCAGTATTCAAAATGTGGCTAGAATGAACTGCAACGGAGGGATACGCCTGCACCTCTTAAATAAACATTGATTGTGCCCGTAGAAGTTGCGTATGGGTACTAAGCAGCCTCAAATTCTTGCACTGAGGCATAAAGGCAGGGCAGATATCTTCTTCTCTAGCTGTCCTATAAAATAGAGCTTATAGTAAGAGAAGAATTGGAGAAGCATGTATGTATGTGCAGTAAAAAGAAGGGTGGAAAGCAGTGTACGGGTTGCTGTACTTTAAAGAATAGGAATAACTTCTGAGCTGCCATGTAATGAAATATTTTGCCATGTGTAGCCCTTAAGGAACACCGTTCCTCTAAGAACTACACAAGTGCCCTCTAGTGCTCTAAGCCAACCAGTGTAGCACAGCTGCCCAGGTCTTGCTGAGCAATCGGGGTCAAAATAAGACACATGTACTAAGCCAAAAAGTACTTGCATGCTATTGAAGTTCTGCTCTCAAGTCCAGCATAAACATGTCACGCCTCTAAAACGTGACTGAAAACAGCTCCTATTTCCAAGAACCTCTTGATCCTGTGCTACCTCCCCTTTCCACTCAAAGGCCGTTCAAAAATTCTGCCTTGCAAATTCAATATCAACACTTCAGAACCAAGTCTGAATCCTGGTGGAGTCAGCTTTAACAGCCAGTTTAATGGTTGTACAATGGAATACGTGATATGTTTCAATATACTTGAATTAAAAAATTTTAGGGTAAAATGGTGAGAGGGAAATGTAAATAGCTTGATCCTGTCAGATAAAACAGGATATGCATGTGGTGCGACTCTTTCTTTCTCTCTTGCTATGCAGTGTATAGCCTTGGTAAGACAATCATCTTACCACGGAAAAGACCAAGGTACTCACTGTCTTCTTTGTCTCGGTCTTTATTGGGAAGAATTGCCTTAAGTAGTCTGAGGTCCCTACCTTTGGTAGAGAATTATCAGGTTAGGAAACATTTAAACAAATTGGACATACACTAGTCTGTGGGCCCTGATGGGGACTGCACCCATGAGTGCTGAGGGAGCTGCCTGATGTCATTGCAAGACCACTCTTGGCAATCAACAAAATGTTGTGGCAACGGCAGAGGTTCTTGAGGACTGGAAGAATGCAAATGTCACCGCTATCTTCAGGCAGGGCAAGACAGAGGATCCAGCGAAACACAGGCCAGTCTGCCTCACATCAGTTCGTGGGAAGATGTTGGAGCAATTAATCTTGGAAAGCATTTCCAAACATACAAAGGACAAGAAGGTAGCTGGGAATAGTCGGCATGTATTTATACAGGAAAAACCACGTATGACCAACCTGATAGCTTTCCAAGATGACTGGCTCAGTGAACAAGGGGAGAGCAGTGAATATTTATCTTGACTCCAGCAAGACTTTTGATACTGTTTCCCATAACATCCTCATTCACAAACTGATGAAGTCTGGGCTAGGTAAGGACAGTGAAGTGGATGGACAACTGGCTGAACTAATCACATGCTCAAAGAGTTGCACCTGGGGGCCAGTCCTCAGTGGTGCACCCCAAGGGTTGATTCTGGGGCCAACAACGAAGATGTGTAACATCTTCATTAACGACCTGGATGACAACACAGAATGCACCTCAACAGATATGCAGATGACACAAAACTGGAAGGAGTGGTTAATATCCTCAGATGGGTGTACTGCCATTCAGAGGCACCTCAACAGGCTGGAGAAACGGGCAGACAGGACCCTTATGAAGTTCAAGAAGGGGAAGTGCAAAGTCCTGAACCTGAGCAGAAATAATTCCCATGCACTAGGACAGACTGGGGGCCAACTGTCTGGAAAGCAGCTTAGCAGAGAAGGACCTGGAGGGCCTGACAGATAGGAAGCAGAGCCAGCAATGCACTCCTTGCAGCAAGGAAGACCAGTGGTATCCTAGGCACTACTAGGATAAGCATCACCATCAGGTAAGGAAAGTAATTATCCCTCTTTACTCGGCACTGGTGAGACCACATCTGGAGTGCTGCGTACAGTTCCGGGTTTCCCAGCTACAGAGACAGGGACATATTGGAGCAAGTCCCGCGGAGAGACGTGAAGACGATTAAGAGACAGGAGTATCTGACATACCGGGGGGAGGCTGAGAGAGCTGGGATTGTTTCGTCTTGAGAAGGGAGAGCTCAGGAGGGATATTAGCCGTATTTATAAATATCTGTACCTAACTACAGAGAGGTAAAGAACACAGAGGTGCCCAATGAAAGGACAAGAGGAAATGAAACATGGGAAATTCTCTTTTACTGGGAGGGTGGCCAAACCTTGGAACATGTTGCCCAGAGATGTTACAGAGCCTCCCTCCATCCTCAGACATATTCAAAACCAGATGGACTTGGTCTTGAGCAACCTGCTCTAGTTGACTCTGTTTTAAGCAGCAGGCTTGGACTACAAGATGTTCAAAGGTTCCTTCCAACCCCAGCCATTCTGTGATTCTCTCAACTCTACTGGCTTAGGAGAAACTACAGATAAAGACATAGTAATAAATCACTTTGGACCTCGACTTTATTTCCATAGCACACTGAACAATGGCACCTGACCACTCATGCAGTATTCATGTCTTCAACTTTCTCACTGTTCTGATCTGAAATCACCCCAGAACCCTCTCAAGAATGAAGTGTGGCAAAGGTCATTTGAAAGAGACTCAAATGCACAAATCATGAGCCTCAGGACTAAACTGAAGTCTCAAGCATGGGAAAACATTCTTTGACTGTGTCTATCATTATTTTGCATTCATTCATCCCTAGAGCACCTGTAATATTTTTCGGAAGTATGGAGATTTCATAGATGAGAAACATGGGCACGCAACAGGCTGCTTTAATACCTATAGTATCTTTGACTTATGTGCCATCTTTCCATATGCAAATTCCCTACTGGTAATAGAGATACACTTTGCCTTCTGGAGCTCTGCCTACGTGAGGGAAACAGCAAAGACTAGTTTCAACTGGTTTAGATGGGCTGGCAAGGCAATATAAATATCAGCCCTGACACTGCAAAGACATACTGACACACTGGAGGAAAAAAAGACTCAAATTTCCACAAGATCTGCATTCAGGGAAGATTATTAGCCCTTGGAAACTTAAACAAAACTGTAAAATGGTTATTACCATTTCTTTTCCTTTTGTCTTTAATAAACACTAGTACAATTTTGGAAGCCAATTAACTGGTCACTAGTTCTGAGGGAACTTTTAGCATTCACAGAGCCTCAATCTAAACTCACATGAGCCATCTATCAAATTCTACCTGTGAAGAGCAGGTAGAGAGATCACAAAGACTAGCCTGATAACTGAGCTCCAGAATGTGTGGATGAAAATGCTGAATCTTCTTCGGAGGGCCCAGTCCTTTGCATCTGTAAATAGATTTTGGTTGGAGACCAACTGCATGAACGCTTTCACGATGAAAGCATCTACTGAAAAAAGGTAGAAAATTACGTGTATTTTTGAGTTCCTGACAATGAGATCCAGCTGGTATATTGCTGGAGAAAATAATGACCTGGTTTCAGCACTGCAAACAAAGTCTGACAAACTGCATGAAATAAATGCATGACGACATATGGCTTGGCAGCCTGATATGCTGTACTGTTACAGTTGGACTGGTTTCTCTTTTGCATCAGCAATTAGCAAGAAACTGGTATGACGAAGATGTGCTCTTACTGAGGTGAGACTGTTTTTTTTAAACTGTTTAAATTTCATGAGAACGACTAAGAAAACAAAATGTGGTTTATTTCGTGTTCAACTACTATTGCCATGAGTCCTTCATTTAATCAATAGATACATCAGTCATACATGCAAGCACAAATGCTGCATATAATACGTACTTCTACTGTCAGAAAGTATTAAGACTGTTAAAGCTTGGACTTTACTGTGAAACACAGATGGCTGCGTTACGCAAGAAACAGTAGACAATTATCAGACCAGAAAGACTGTGCCATCAAAGCAAGCATTACCACTCTGTCATGGCTTAGTTATTCACTGTCTTTTAGGCAATGATGAACTCCCTTTTCTTCATTATGGTAGGAAAATACCATGCATTTTCACCTGAACTCATGTTGTTCTGTTTCTATGCCTCAGATGAAACCATAAGAGCACTTCAGTTTGGCTGTTCAGTTATTTCTATCAATTTAGAATATCTGTGGAAAAGGTCACTGTGACTCTAGAAGTCACATGGAAGCTTCAGGCTGATCTTACAGGTGTAAAATCATGCCCATCTACAGGGGACTTATTTCTGACTATTTTGATCTTTAATTTTCTGTTTAAGAATTTAAGCTAGCTGAAGTGTGGACACTGCTCCAGCGACTTAATACAATATAAAAATCAGCGAATGAAATCTTTGAATGAAAATGGATTTCCAACAGTCTAGAAATTACAGTACAAATTATAAAGGCACCTACCTGGCAATAGGTTAGGCAACACTGATAATGAACATATGCATATCCACATTTCAATACAACAAACATATGCAGGTATACGCAGGTAACAAGAATCTCCAGATAGTCTGACAAATTTTCTGCTTCTGAGTTCTTTTTAATGTTATATAAAGGTATATATAACGAGGACAAAGAACATCCAAATATCTTTCTGGAGAATACTCTGAACTGCCATTCATTGAAAAACAAAACTAAAACAACCTCCCCCTCAAACAAATAAAACTCAACATTTATGAATTTTTAACTAATTTTCCAGCATAAAGCGCAAAATAGTCAGTTACCTGTTCCCAACACTGTGGTAAAAGCTCAGCTTCTACACGTGTTGGTCCAACGTGTCGGGCAAATGCCACACACCCAGTCAGTATCATCTGTCTGAAAACATAAATTTAAAGCTTTAGTCTGTTTATAAAGTGAAGTTCTATAATATATAGAATATATTAAGTTAGGAAAAGAAGATGCTGTCAGGCAACAGGTAATTGTCCACAGTCAAAATTTTATATCATACACACTGACTTAAAGGCTAAATCTTAAATTGAAAGCCACTATTGTCCCTGCTCATTGCAGGGGGGCTTTGGACTAGATGACCTTTAAAGGTCCCTTCCAACCCAAACTATTCTATGGTTCTATCTTGCTTTCTATTTAATATGCCTTTTTCAGAAACTTGCAGATCCCAAACTCCATAAACTAGAGCCCTAGAATCTCTGATTTGGGCATCTCCGATTTCCTAATGTCCGAGATTGGGAATCTCTGACTAAATCCCTCATTTAATTCTTATTACTGAATACTACGATTCATCATGCAATAAAAGGATCTAAATTACTTAATAATATCAGTATTTTAGTCAAATACACATATTGCTTTTGTTTAGAAGCATTTGTGAGACTTAATGAACTTTGTTCAAAACAAGTAACTTAATTCTTTTACAACATGGTTTTGCAACATTCTAACATGGAAGTTACTGTCATCCCTCCCAAAACACTGGACTTGACTCTTGTCAGAAATCTTCTAAAGCCCATTATAAAAGGGAAGCAATTAACCAATCAGTACTACCTACAATCACCTGAGTCCTTTGTATTTATATTCTTGCATTTTTTAACTTCCCTCAAAGTTTGCAAGAAATCACTGTTCCATCAATTTCATAGGCACAGAGGTATATTTAAAATTTCAATAAAATTGTACTTAACTGTCATTTGTGATATTTTAACTTTTATTTAACGAGTGTTTATCTTGCTAAGATTTTTTTTACTTCTATTTCTCCTGTTAATAGGATTGGAATGATACCAAATTTGCATGCAATTCACCAGTTCTATTTACTTTTAGTGCCTACATCAACACTTAAATAACCAGTTTCAAATGATAACGTGTGGACATGAGACACTCATTTTATCACCTCCACATTAAGATTAGGACACCACTGAGAATTTGTTCATTATTACTTTATGGAAAGTAAGCCAGAATTAATTTGTTACCATTTTAGTGTCATGTCTAAACTCCTAAATATTTACTGCAGCTAATAGCATGCCCTTAAGGTTGAAAGGCAGAGATTCTGCTGGTTATTTCTTAACCAGTTATACAATATACTCTATCAAAAAAAAGACTCATTCACTTTCAGAATGTTTTCAAGGAGAAATAGTCTATTAAAAAGATTTTTTTTTTCCCCAGCATTCTTTAGGCCAACAATCAGAGCAAGCTCTTTGGTTTGCGGTTTCCCCCCCTCCCACGTACAGAGAACCAGACCTTTGATCAAGGTAAAAAGGTTGGGGAAAAACAAAAATGCAATGATTAGATAACACTCACGTAATCAACAGCTGATCTGTGATAGCAATATGGAGACAAAAGCCTGTGGTAATTCTGAATTCTACAACAAAGCAGTTATTCAAATGCCTGTCTTTGGTTCTACACGCTGAACTGGGCAACAGAGTATACTTTTAGAAGATATTAAAAAAGCAAATAGCAGAACACAGTAATCACTTGAAATCTTCTGCATTAGAAATGGGGATAACGAAAATATACAGTATTTTTGAAAATCAAACCTTCTCAAAAAAGTTCCATGAAATCTCCAAATCAACTCAGATTTCTTTTTGCCTTGCCTATAAAGTAGGGAACTTTAAGATATTGCAAAAAAAATTTAAAAATAATGTTTTAAATATTTTACGGTAACCACCTTCAAAATATATGACAATAGTCAGTATTTCAGGGGAAGGGAAGGTTGTAAAGATCTCAACCACAGGTCATTGATACAAAAAATGTTAACACTAAGCTGTTGCAAAATTGCAGTCTAGGCTAGACATGGGAAAAACTCCTTTCTGCTTATTGTCATAATGATCTCTCTTGTTAACAAGATGCTGGGAATGCTTTCCTCAAAGCGCTCTCTCCAGGTTATGCACTTATGAGCATTTAGGCAGGAACATAAAGCAGATCAGTATGATTCATCAGAGCACTAGTTTGCTTCACCAGTACAGAAACCAAAGTGAAATCGAAAATCAGACTACAGGAACAAAGCAGAAATTAGAGTATAACAGACATAATTTAACACTTCTTACTTCTTTCTAGAGGTTTTAGAAAGTGACTGTATGCACTGGTAAGCAATTCAATCTTGCATTACACGGTTCAAGGTTCTTTTGTCCCTCCTAAAGGTTACATTACAAACTTACTAGAGGTTTCCTTAATAGGTCAGGAAGTTACGTGTGTTCTGTAACATGACCGATGAAAAGTTATATTAGAGAAACTAAGCTTAATGTATTTTAGCTTCTTTTCATGAAGAGTGCTGCTTCTAGGTACATTATTCGGAAATCTTCAGTTCACATTTTGAACTATGTTTTAACCCTGCCCTAAAAGACTCCAACATTAATCTTTCTTCTTCATGGCTCCTTAGCTTCCAAAACCAACATAATTATCCAAAAAGAAATTCAAGTGAAGCTAACACAGATTTGTTCCTTTGCAGAAGAGAATTTGATAGACATTTTGAAAAGCTGAATAGTACATTAATGAGCAGAGCCTTGAGGATAAAAGTGGCCTTGTTAAATATAATGTTAGTGTACAAGACTATGGCAATATGCTATATCTGCGTGCATCAAAAAGCCTCTCACGTGGGCAAGTAGTAAAATTCAGGCTTTCTGCAAAATTGTTAACATACTTTACAAGGTCAAATATTTAAAGTAAAATACTTATTTTAATGGGTTCATTATCAGAAATGCAATGTCACTTTTCAGTCTGTTGCATTTAACAAATTTAAAAAGTCAACTTATCAACTGCTACTTTAAAGTATAACGTAGGCCTGTACAGTATAGCAGAAGGTAAACAATAACATGAGATAATTAATACCATTGTTCTGGTGACTAAACCTGAATGTCTTTGCTTATTTCATAGCACACAAGATTGCTCAAACATTATTTAAACTTATTCAGATTAAAAAAAATATGCATAATACACTTCCATACAAATATATAAGTATAAAAACCCAACTGAAATTCTGAATAAGTATTTTCTATCTAATTTGTATTCAGAATCTCTTTTATTTGATGGAATTTTACTTATTCTTCAGTAGGTGCTACAGCACCTTTAAAACAGATTATGATTTTTATGCGTGTAAATATGTATTACGTATATGCGTGTTTTGTCCTGGGGTTATGGCAGAATATTCTTCCCAAATTTCTGAAGAAAATTAGTTACTTTTAGATATAAATCTCTAAGTCACAACAAAGAATGAACAACTTCAAGGAAAAATAAGCTTGGATTTTCTTCTTTCTTAGCTGCTGGAACAGACACACCTAACTGCAGCTTAACAGGCATATGAAAAATCTACTTGATAGGCCACCAATCCTGTGACAAATTAACTACAAGAGACTACAAACGAGATGTAACTTTCTTCCCCCCTCAACCACAAAACAGTTTTAGCTTCTCAATCTGCATTGGACATTCAAAACATTTAGATAATGGTAGACCTTTCAGAAGCAGATTTCTAACGAATCTGAAGGAGAACAAGGACTGCATCTTTTTGTAATTTCAGTCAGCATGGTGCCACTGTGCTACAAGTTGCTTTTATTTATTTATGCATGTTTTTGTCTCCAAAGCCATCTCTTTCAATCCTACCTCATCTCTAAATTTTACCATGGGAACAATTATGAAAGACACCAGAACACTTCAGTTTCAGAGAATCTTCAAAAGAAATGCTTTCCACCTATTTCATAGAGCCTATTTTGTCTGAAGACAGAATAGAGCAAGGACAGATACAGATGCTTTACAAAACATCTCTAATGAAAATAATGGAAGAGCTACAGATCAAATATGAAAAATCTTTCCACAGTTAGAGAAGGAAACCAGCTGGAGTACTGTCTTTCAACCTTAAGGATATTCTTATCAAGATTGGTACAAACAAAGTCAGATTTCCTGAGTTCTAAGGAAGAGCTAAATTTATAAAACAAAATAAAAAGTATACTTTGTTTCTAAGTCTTAACCAAGTTAAAACAAAGCTCTTCACACCTGTCAGAATGAAATCACTGCTTCAGTCTTCTGAATTTTTTATTGCTACCATAGTACTGAACCATAAGTAGGAAGAGTACTATTTTCTCATGCCATTTTCCCCAACTAAACGTGGTAGTTAACTTACAAACATATAGATGACTAAGATACACTAAGACAGAGGTTTAAAAAAGCTGTTTTGATTTCTATGTCAACCATTGCTAGAGAATTATGATCTTAAAGCTCATTTTAACAAAGCCTTTCAGTTCATCTTTAAACAAAAAAGGAACTGAAATGTTACACTGCAGTTTACCAAGCACATTCTTACATTTCAGTAACTAGAAAGGACAGGTCATGGAAATGGAAAGTCCCGAAGTCCACATAAATTTGTCAACACTATACCAGCAAAATATCAGATTAAGTGAAACTTGGTTAAAATCATCCAATAATATCCAGTTTCTATTAGTTCTGCTTCTTTGACAAAGAAAAAAAGTTCCTTCTTGTCCCGCAACACACAAACGCAAACACACCTTTGCTCATCATCTGGTCGTTTGATCAAATTGAACAGTATGTGTAGAAGCTGATCTCTCTCTTTGGGTTCAGGATGGAGGCAGGCTGTACACAGTATGAGTGGGATCAATTCCTAAAAAGTTGTGGGTAGGGGAAAACCAAACAAAGTAAAAATGCTTTGGGCATATATTCATTAATGGCAAAAGAAACTAAGAAGATAAGTCTAGCCACATAACATCAGAACAGTTAGAGAAGATGTTTTAGAGTCTTGATCTCTTAAGTGACCTGAAAAAAGTGAAGGTCTACAAAAGTTAGAATTATTTTCCTGCTAGGAAAGATCAGGGGAGAACCAGCACACAAAATAAAAAGCTCCACAAAGATTACAATTAAAATATGCAGGTCACCTGTAACCCGAATTAGAGGACAATCATGGTTTAAATTGTCTTCACTACCTACTGAACTGAAGTAAGCTCCACAGACATCTATGGAACAAAGCTCCTAGGGAAAAAGCTACTTCTGATGCCATGGAGTTAAAGATTAAAATTTCCAATTAAGCATGCACATAGTTTTGTGCACAAGTTTGAATAAGCACTGAGAAACATATATTGGTAAAGGTGACTGCAGACAGATATCCTCAATTTTGTTGACCGAGAACTATATGACTTTTTAAAGGTTTGTTTGTTGTTTTTTTTTTTTTTTCAATAAAGAGGCAATATCTGAAGCTGAATTTTCTTTTTAGAGCAATTCAATTCTCTAAAGGAACAAACTACCAAGAAAATACTGTGTAAAACATTAACTGAAAGAAAATATAAGGCTGTTCACAATAGTGAAGACCTCCTCCTTTCTAAATATGCCTTCAAAACTCATGGTATTCATTCCCAGAAGAAACAAATGTTTCTAAAACATGGACTGGAAGTCCCTTTCCTTGACCTTGTTGACGTGACCCTTTACTCCAACCAAATTTGGAAGCCACACAATTTCTAGATGATTTAATATCTTATGGACAGAAACATCACACTGGGAGGTTGAGGCAAAAGAACAAGACAAACCTAGCTGTCTGCAGAGAAAACATGGGCAAGTAATCTGGAGGCTTCCTCTCCCACCTGCCGCATACTTTTGAGCCACTTTCAGCAGACAAACTTTTTGTGAATTAATAAGCTGTGACAAACAAGCAGATGACAGAGGGAAACACTTCTGAAGTTACTAGGAAACCTGGAAAAATCTATAGTTATTTGTAAGAACTTTGCAGGGAGGTGCCAATTTCTTCTTGCAGACATTCAAAGTGACCTGGTCACGATGCTCTTGAGAGTAAGCCTATTGAACAAGGTGGACATGTGGAAACAACATTAAAAGACACTCACTGCTCATCTTGTATTTTCCTAAACAGCAAGTGCTATGTTTATTTTAAATATAGAACAATACTCTAGTTTAGAGCATTGCCTAAGCTAGTTAACTCCTGATAAGCTTTTGTTTTCATTTTACAGGAATTCTACTCAGCATGCTATTTTTCCCCCCTGAAAATGACTGAGAGACATCCTAAAATGTATTTTAACATTCTGGAAGATATTTTGGCAATATTTAATTCAATTATGGTACAGATTAGGGAATTTATGATGAGACAGAGCAATGAATGTGGACATATCTTACCCACCACTTAAAAAAATCTGAAAGTACTGAAGGAGAAATGAGAAATAAATTTGAACAATTTGGACACTTCTATTCCTCAATATTTTAAACTGCGCCAGTTTTCGGGTTTGTTTTTACATAAGTGTAGCACAATGCAAAATAATGTGAATTAAAAACCGGTATTAAAGAAACTTCACAAATTACACTGCACGAAGTGCTAAATAACTGTCTTCACCTGAAGCTCCTTTCCCTCTAGAATTTGCATGTTAGCTTTTTATTTTTGTATACTTAACATTCAGCTTTTGCCCATTTAAAGTTCTGAGAAGGCAGGGGCTTAATCTGTTTAACTTTTGTCTTTTGTTTTTTTTTTTTTTTTTTTTTTTTTTTTTACTTCACAGCAGCATTTTCTCTCTTGCAAACACTGTTTTAAGTCAAAAAGATTTGAAAAAATATTATAAAAATAAAAAACCCCTGCCCCTCTAAATACCACTGCTTATACATTAAGCTAAGATGTTTTAAAGAGGAAACCAGATTGCTATTTGTAGATACACAACATAATTACTTACTTCACCGTAAAGAATATAGGTCATGGAAGAAACCTTTAAATCAAAAAAACCTCTGTGTTACTTTACTGAGACCTAACTTTCTGAAATCTACCCTAACTTCACATTATCCAACTGCTCTTGCAATTATTCTTAAGGACTCGTTATAAAGAATATTTTAAAAAAGAATATACCCCATGAAATGGGACATATGTATTTTTTATGATCTGGAGTTTTTGTTTTATCTGTTGAAACCATCACACTGACTTCACTTTCATAGATTGTTTGAGTGCCTACTCAAAAATCTCAACTGCTCACTCAGAACTACTGCTAGATTTCAAAACAGTGCCATGAACTTTATTTTTAAAGCTTCTTTTCAAATTTAAGGAAGTTAACAAAGTTGTCTTTTTCCAGCTGAGTCTGTATGAAAGGAAAACACCCCGGAATATACACCTAGATACTACCACCTTGTGTGTGAAAGGCTAATGAGTAATCTAACATCATTGACATGGGGCAGATACAAGGCTGGTTCTTTACCTTGCAGAAAGCTGGTTATTATAGCTGATGCAATTAGCTGTATTTTCTTGTCCATTGGTCACATTCTTTCATGCATACTATGGGAGAAGAGAGTGTTTTCTGCATCGTTGCATCAGTGCTTCTACAGTTCCTTCTATTAAGGGGAGTGGAGAAACAGTGAGAAGTCTTGAACAGTGTTTTAGTGCTCCCTATAGACTTAATGGACAGGAAGGTAAAACTGGAGGTGAAGGGGACTTTCTGTGGGAAAAGAACAAAACTGCTCTCATAGATGGGACAAAACAGGTCAAGCGAAGTCTCCCAAAGACTTAAAAGAGGACAGATTCTTCTTGGGATATTCAGGATGATTGAGAACAAAAAACAACCTACAGGCAGGTTCGAGCTCATTCCTTCCTGTTGCTAAGAGCCATGCCTTAGATGCAGACTTGTTTAATAAATCTCAGATTTTTCATTCTCAAAAACAGGAGAGAAGTGCTGTAGAAAGTGGTAATTTTCCAATAAGACACAATAATATTAGCATTTGGCTGTTTAAATTCAAGAGGAAAGCTCCTAACATGGTTATGGAGATTGTATATAATTATTAGTAATCAAGGAGAGGACTTCCAGTGCTATTTGAAACACTCTGCCTTCCTTGGGAAGGAATACCACTTGTGCTGACAGTCATAAAGCAAGAACATAAATTCTGAAAAACCCAACAACCCTCCCTCTATTTAATTTGGGATCTTTCCTAAATGTCCTGTTCATCCCCAAGTCCCTCTTTTCTCTTTTGCCTCTGACTTAGGAAAACTGATTAGTTCATGTTGGTGTTAGTCAACAATACCAGGAGGAGTGGCTTTCAGAACTGTGATACTGTTTTCCCGCTAGATGCCAAGCAGATTGCCATTATAACACTGTCAAAACAGTTCCTCCTACATATTAGAAGTATCGAAACAAAATATTAAAGTTCGGGGTTTTTTTAAATGCATCCTAGAGCAAGCATTTGTCTATTTTGCTGACAATTTTCTTACAAGGTAGCAAGGAATTTTCTATCTGTGTTGATACCTTCATTGTAATTTTTTTTGTTTAACATTCTGACAAAAGTCTTCTACATCTTAGTTTCCCTCACTAATTAGTGCCTTTTTGTTGGAGTGTTCATAAGCAAAATAATTATCTCAAAGAATAAATTTAATTAGTGTTAAGTGTCAAGACTGGTTACTTCAATAGCTTAGAATAGTCATCTTTTTTATTATTTCAAATATTAATGTATTAATACGGCAAACAGGTGACAACATAATACATAAACCAGGAAAACATTATGATCGATTTTGTAAATGTGTTCCTTTTAATCTTCTCTCATAGTCACTGCTTACGTTGTGAACCAATGCTATGTTAAAATTCTTCTGTAACTTAGCCTCTGACAACTGGTAAATAAAATAATCTTACCTGCAGCAACTGAAACAGCTGCAGGTACTACCAAACTACTGATACGGAGTCTCTTGTGCAAGAATGTATTTGAAGTTCAGAATTCATCCTTTCAGTTTTAAAATGAAAAAAATATTTAATCATAGGATTAATACATGATTCAGAACTTTGTGCTACTCATCTTATTATATATTAAAATTACAACTCTAATTACATTTCAGGGGATAAGACTATTCCAGGATCCAAATTAAGCCTCTCGTAGCTCGCAAAGTGATGCTTTTACATAAGAATCAATGCAGAAGATATGGGTGTGAAAAAAAACTTTGTACTTCTTTGTTCATATCTACTCTTTATCTGGAAACCTGCATATATAACTACTGTGACAAAACTAGTAGCAACTGGCAATTCAATTCATAAACATTAAATTCAACTCCTTCCATCCATGAATTACATCATGTTTAAAGACACGGTGTTGAAAGACATCAGCTTTCAGACTAGAGATGAAAAGGATACTCTATGAGACCGAGCTATTTCATTCTAAGAAAACTACACTAGGCTCTCATATCCAGAGAACTGAACTAAAGGACTTAAATTAAAGAACGGTTATGTCTCTCTCTTGTGTGTGTGGCGGGCAACCCCACCTCCAGACAAAAAAGCCCCACAAATCAAAACCAACACCCCACATAAAGCAGAAAAGAACCAGCAAACAGGCTGTGGTCAACACTATCCCCTATTTTTCAGAAACACAATCTATAGAAGCCTACCACCATCTAAGTTTTACAGAGCAACAGAAAGTATTTTAATTGTTCATTTAAAGTTTTCTGTTCTCCCCTATTCTGTGTCATTTAGAAGATCCCAGTCATTTAGAAGATACTGATGGCTGACAATTTTCATGCCCAGGATCTCATATACCTTTGTCCATATCCAACCAGAATAACATCTGCTTGACACAGACACTGGAAACAGCCACTTAAATACACTGCCAAGCTCTGACACAGCATTCTTTTACATTTTTTAACAAAGCCAATATTTTATGGCTTTTAAAGCCTAAGACTGAGATGAAAATCTGTAAAAAGATATTCAGCTCTCCCATGTTTTAAGAGACAGCTACCTGCAAAAAATGCCAGAGAATGAAAGTGCCTCGGTGATGTCTATGTGTAGTTACTACATGTTAATGTGAACAACTTTATATCTACAGCATTACTTTCTTCTAGCAGAGTTGAGAATGGCACCCATTCAGAGTTTGCAGATTCAGCATTATCTTTGCTTCAACTTTACAAAGAAATAAAAGCAAAACTCTATTCTTAACATATTGAACTCTATATAAAAGTTTCTCAGTATAAAAATTCAGTGGTGCACATTTAGTAAACCACTACTATCATGATTTTGCTAAGTTTGCATAACACAAATGAAAGTTACAGAAACTAACCCTGGAATATTAGGTGAGATGAAAGGTATAAATAATTAAGGAAAAGTGTTTCTTAATTAAGAACAAGAGTAACAAGATCCTGATATTAAGCCACAAAGTTTACTCTGACCCAAATTCTGCTAAAGGACTACATACTGCGGAGTGAGGAAGGTGTACATACAAACAAGGATACCCCTGTTATCTGACAAAAATATATTGATTTTTACATCTTATAAAGGGTGAGGAATCAGTATTGCACTGATTAATTATGGTAAACATTTTAAAAGATTGCTTTTCTCTAATTAGAGCTTAGCCAAAGGAATCTTTTTATGGTATACCTCTTGACAAATAGAAGGTGGCCGATTTTATTTTTTTTTTAAATCTTAAATGTGCTTTAGTTTTAAGTGGAAGCAGATTAAGGAATTGAGGAAGCAGATTCCTATGCAGATGAAATGTTATGAACTCAGGCTGCTCATCTGCAAGAAGTGTTATCACAGACTGCATACCCAGCCAAAGGGTTTTTTTTCCAAAGAATAGGTTTTTAGCATTTTGGTACTGTTTATTCCATTTACTATTTGGCTTGCAGCATGTCCTTTGTTTGTGAGTGCATTCACATACAAATCTAAACATTGACATACATGTTTTCAAGCAGTTAGGATAAACTAAGACACTTGGGATAAAAACAAGCTTAAATTTATATGTTGATACATGGAATTTTAATGACTACGAATTGCTTTCAGGCAACTATCCTATATTATGCATTATTTATTTTTACCCGGTTGAACTGCTCTTCTAGAAACAACTAAAATGATCTCCTCAGCCACCCTACTCAATACTGTATTTTTCCTTCTTTCTTATCTTCCTTTGGAACCTAAACTACAGACATTGAAGAACAATTAAAGCTGCACCAATACACAAAAATAACATAAATAATTTCAGAAATGCATCAGACATTCTGACACTGACTAGTCGCTCAGATGTCAACTGTAATATTTACTGGACCACTTATTACCAAGTCAGGCAGGCTGCTACTGACCTTAAGAGGGCAAAAAGCATTGGTGAAATGGCTTCTGAATCGCTGGTAAAGGACAACACCTACTGAGAGATTGTCAACCTCCACAAACCCAGTTTCTCCAAAGTGAAAATGTATAGCACAACATTTTCCGCTTAAGATTTTGCAATCAATTTCAACATGATGGATGCTTAAAGAACAAAGATAGGTACTTTAGGGAGTCACAACAAAATTATGTTTAATTCTCATGTCTAACACACTGATAGTGTAAGATCTTAAATACTACCACTGTACCTTTTCAGAGCAGACTGGTGATCACTTTGCATTATAACCCAAACCTGTTACATATCTTTCTCAAATTGGTGATCTTTTGGTATATTTTTACACCACTTCTCCGTAAAATTGTGCTAAGGCTTTCCCATGATAAGGTTAGTTTTGGACAAGACCCAAAGTTGTACCTTGTTGAAGAGAGCCTAGTTCTTAGGTTAGCTTTTCTTAATACTGATATGAATATATACTAGCAGATGGTCTACCCAAATTTTCCTTCAAATTCCACAACTACATCTGAAAGAACATTACAATAGTTATAGCAATGGGTGGTAACTGAGAAAAGCTATTTTTAAAGCAAATTTCAATTCTCAGAACATTAAGCATTCCATGCAAACCAGTTACACAATTCTCACTTGCGGCTTTTTCAATCAAATTGAAACAGATGATTCATTTAAGGCAAAAATACATGTAATCAAATGTATCTTCAACTGTAAAACAAAATAAGTAGGAAACAGCCTAAAAGATCACAAAAATATTAAATGCATTACACAGATTATGCTACGAGCTGTGAAAAGAAGCCAAAATACCACATCCTGCCAAGCAGAGGGAAGGAAAGGAATAAATAAGAAATCAGAAATTAAGCACTGATCCAGGAACGTTCACAGAATTATTCTGAAAGACTATTAACAGAACCATTTCCAGAGCACCCTGTTAATACCCCCACCCCCTCAGAAAAAAAAAAACAAAACACTTTTATAAAGTTTGAGACTTTCAAAACGTGGTACATCTCAAACTCACCATGTCAACTGCTGATAATTATTTGTATGTTATAAAATTTTAGATTATAGGATCAGTACAAATTTCTTGAGGATTTTTCAAAGCCTTAAAATGAATTTATGCAAAACGCACTATTAAGTCTACCATACTGTAGGTCCCCTCAACAAGGACTAAAACCTACTCAACAAGCTATGCTACTTCAAACTCTTTATTTTGGTGTCAGCTATAAGGCCGTTGAATTTTTGTTTGATATATTTTCTTATTTTTATTTTTTTACACATTTGATAATGTGCAATATTTACAAGAAAGCTATATAAAACCAGTCTTTTTTTTCATCTTCAATCACAGTCTTCCTTTTCTACACTATATAGTATGAATGATTATGCAAAACACCGTCTTCATTTACATTCAAAATAAACATTACATTTTCATAATTTTATTTAGCTTCATTTTAAATTTAAGGAAAACATATAAGCAAGATTGCTAATTTTCTTATGAAGGGGTGTTTTTGATGAAACTTGTCTTGGCCGATACATGGAGCTTCTAGAAAAAGACAGTAAAATAAATTTTTTGTTGAAGTACGTAGTGCTGCAAAAGAACCTGAACATTAATCCTTATTAAAACTGATAGGTAAAATAAACCATATCTAATGTTTGAACTTTTATCCTCTGCTTTTTATAACACACATTAACCATGGTCTTCTCTAACAAAAACATTTGTGCTACCACAAACAGATGGACCTACAGTAACAGTTAGTCTTGCTGAATGCTAATGGGTGCCTTAAGCAAAGGAAGAAATATTAGGATACCATGCAGGTTTACTGAACTCACCTGACAGAGGTGTAAAACCATTTTCTAGGAGCAGAGATGCATGCACAAAAGTAAGAACATGATTGCAAGTAACAGACTTTCATGAAATTAGACACAACATCTTCAAAATGAACAAGAAAACATCCTGGTAAAAATAAAAAGTAAAGTTTCAGGGTTCCTCACCTCTCGCTTTGCAAGCAGCACATTAGGAACAATATGAGGCAGGCAGCGTCCCAACATTAACATGACACTTTTTTCACTGTCTGCAATCCGAGATACCTAGAAAACCAAGTTGTCTGTTTGTTTTTCTTAAATGAAGCACAGGAATAGAAAAATATTCTTTCAAAAGAATAATAAGAATTGCAGCAGGCTGATCACTTACCAGAAAATATTTAGTTCACTCACACACATTAAGTGATAAGTTTTTGAGCTGGCAGTAACTTCAAATGCATGAATCCACTTGTAGAGACTCAAAACTTCCCAGTAATTACATATCTATCACTAGGTTTCATATTTAAGCTAAAAATCTGAAAGCATATCTGTATTTCTTAAGTTTCATGCACATAAACTTATCTCTCCATATGTTAGTAAGTCTTGTTTCAAAGCAATTATTGCTTGTTTAACTACTGCTGCCATGCAGAATAAAGTATCTTCTAGTTTATGTCAACTGGGAAATATACCTCTGATCCCAAACGACTGTCTGCTGACATCCGACAGAAAGACAGTAGTGCTTGATGGAAAGCTGGTGACAATTTCCTGAAATATCGTTAAAAAGGGAGGGGGGAAAAAAAAGCATAGATCAGAAACATAACTGAACAAGGCCTTTCACTCTGGTTGAACCAGCTAGGTAAAATGACATTCAGAAAGCATGTTTTAAGTGAAGCATACTGCAGAAGTTTTTGTTTAAAATTATCTTTGACTTTTAGGTGTTTAGTTTGTAGTAAGAAAAAAAGTGGGTGTCCTAATTAAGAAGTAACTTTTAGTTCCGAAAAAATGTAACATCTTTCACACTGCTGCACAGCCAAAAATAGGACTAAAACATGAAGAAAAGGAAGCTTTAGCAATACAAGAGGAAGCATACCATTATGCAAATGGAGGGGCAGGGCGGAAATCACAAGAAACAGTATTTTTGCTTAATGCTCCGATTCTGCACATTGCATAAAATCATTTGAGTATCAGTCACTTACAAGCTTCAGGAGTAAATAGAGATTGCTCAACTTCCACTTTGGGATCTAAATGTTGGATTCAGATGTATAGCAAGAACCTCAAAACTAACCTTAAATTGCTGCTTAATCCCTAATGTAGATGTGTATCTATGGACGTGCTGCTTCATGGCCATGCACAGCACCAGCCAACAGCGCCAAGCTACTCAAAGCCTTAAGCATACACATAAAACCCTGATAAGAGTCTCAAAACAACCTTGTCTGAGGAGGATAATTTGGCAGAAATGTTCTCAGAAAACAATTACTGGACTGACCATTACATAAAAAAGGCAAGCATCAGCAGCATCCTATTATTCCCAGTAATGACAGCTCCCTCTGCCTTATCTGAGGCCTGTATTTAGACGCTAATCTAACACTGCCTCATCCACTATGCTTAAAGAGGAAAAAGAACATTTCTCTTCCAAAACATGCACAGAAAGCATCTTACCCTATGTCATCATCTGCTGTCTGAATCTCCTAATGACACTATATAAGTTTAAGGGAGGAGGCAATTCATATTTCTTTTGTAGAAATTGGTATCACCTTTCAACTCTCAAAAATGCTATTTTGTAAACCTCAGTGCACAAAAGCCTCCACACACGCAATTATGTGTATGGACATATATATTTTTATCTAACAGATTGAAACATCACACTATTTATAGTAAATCATCATTCACTTTTCTAACCAAAAAAAGCACTTTAAGAACCTAAATTCCTACTTATAATTGTTTAAACTAATCCAGGAAGATATGGATAAATATACCAGAGTAGTTTTCCTCTTCTGACTATTTACAAAATATGATAAGTAAGAATTTATGCTTATTACTTAAAATCAAGTTTCTTTCTTGACAGTATGGGTTTTTAAAACACGTTTTAATGAAGTAAGTTTGTTTTAATTCCAATCAGCTTGGTTTTGTGCAAGGGTTCACTTTAAAAAAAAGTTACTAAACGACTCAGATGGCAGCGAGTTGTAGAGGACCTCTGTTTAAAAAATGTTAGTCCTTAGTCTGTAAAAGTATTCTTGAATGACAGATTTACAGGCTCTCCTCAAGGCTTTAAGGTTTATTTACCCTGGGAGAACAGGAGCAAGTGTTGCAAAGCAGCAGCTTAACATTAAGAGAGTGGCAAGGCCTTGGCCAGCCCTTTGCCCACGCTGTCCTTCACCTCGGCGTTCGTTCCGCAGAATGTCAGATCCTTCCCCGCTTGAAACCTTAATTAAAAACCTACATAAGGGCAAAGTTCTATCCCCATTTTGCAAAGACTGAAAACTAAGCATGACAATATGTCACTGAATTTCCCTATGGGTTAATTAACAGCAAGCTCTGGGCAGCACGGATCCCATTATGATTGCTGGCTATATTTAGAGTCAAGAAGGCTTCTCCTTGATGAGTCTAGTGAAATCCTTGATGGCTATGCTGGACAGAAATGATGAGAGACCCAAGCTTCTTGCACACAAGTCAGTGGAAAGTCTTTGCAAGGGCCAACAGATGCCAGTAGTGAAGATGTTCAAATATAAGAAAGTATGACGAATACAAAACCCAAGTACTATTATTCTATTCTATATAGCACTGGGACAAAAGAGTCAATTTACTGAAAAAGTCAGGAGTGACTGCTATATACAGAAAACACCTTGTATTTGGTGCAAACTACCAAACACCTAAAATGAGTTGAATAAATACATGTGGTGCAGTGTATTTAAACTGCTGCTAGTGCCTTCTACTGCAATCTGTTAGACGAGGCACTTTTCCAATGACGGCCATGTCCTCGGTTGCGGGCATGCAAGCACAGCTGCTCTGAGTGCAGCCACACAAAGCAGGCTCACCCACTCTTCCATCCTCTCTTCCCATCTGGGCAAGATTTATGCCAAGAATCCACTCCGTAGCTGAAGTAGTAACAATCTTGCCTTTTAGGACAGAGTCTTAGTTTTTAATACTTCTTAAAACATTCTGAATAAATTGTAGTAATTGTCTTCCACAAATAACCACCCCTGGACCAAAAGAAATAAATATCCAGCACTTCTGTTGTGCTGCTTCTTCCACAGATCTCAAAATACTTAACGAATAATATAATTCTTAATGCAAAAATTTACTGTATTATTACAAACCAAGTGCATAATCCAGGAAGAAAATTTAGTGATATGGACAAAAATAGCTACATATTACACATGCATTACTTATTTCAGCAGCAAACTGCATTTGAGGGGACTTCGGAAGTTAACTCCGTGTGGATTCAAGGCTTTATTCAACTACTTTTCAAATAAATCCACATGCAGTTATATTTAAAAGACCTGTGAGCAGCAAAACAAATTCTGTTTTTCTAGAGACTACTGTTATAAATCTCACTGGAGATACTCATAGTTCCTTCCTCACTCAGGGATCTCATCCTATTTTGATACCCATCCTCACTGTCCCCAAACCATCAATCTAATATTCATGCACTTAATGCCTCCCAGCACTCCCAATTACTCTGAGCAAAAAGAAACTTGCAATGAGCCACAGATGAAAGCAGGTAGACAAGTTTATAGCAATCAATGTATGACAGCTGTAAGTTTTGATTATTACATAGTCTGGATATGCAGCTACGATATGAAAGAAATTAAAAAAAAAAAAATCTGGAAAGCTTAAATGGAACCACTGCAAATCTTCCAGAAAAATCTAAGCCAAGTTCTACTTTCCTGTTAAACACTAGTATATTCAACCAGAAGAGAAAAAACTTGCAGTAGGACTCTATTCTGTATTCAGAAATCTGAAATCTTTCCTCCTGTTCAATTCTAAAGTTAAGATACCACTGAAAAAGTGCCCCTACCCCTAGGACTCAGTGCAAGAAGTTCAGGAAATACAGAGAAAACAGGATACTTAGGGTTTGCAAGAAAAGTTAATTACTAGTAGGGGTAGCAACTCTTTTTTTTCTTTTTCTTCTTCTTCATCTTCCCCCCTGCAGCTTGTATTGATTTTTCCATCTGCACAGAATACCACACGTAGATTTCTACTTGCTATTTTCAGATAAAAGATAATTCTAGAAACATATTACTGTATCAAACACCAGCAAAAGAATGCTAAAGAAACTGACAAAATACAAAGCAGAATGGCTAACGCTCCCCTAGGAGTAAGACCATAAGGTGAGCTACTCGGGCATCTTTGTCCACAATGGTAATTTCAGAAGTTGTACATACCCTCATTAAGTTTGTGGTCCATGTTACTCCTGATGGCTACACAGTGGTTTATCTATTACTTAATGAACATGTTACTTCCCCTCTTCACTATAATGCTTAAAAAGACTGTGTAGATTGGAGAGGTTTTCTCAAGAACACTCAGACACACAAACTGAGTCTCCATGTAATAACACAACATGAATACCCTATTTTAATTAAAAGAATCATAGTTACCCAGTGAAGACTTGCCCCAAATTCAAAACTCAAAAAGCAGAATGTCATCGGATACTCTTTCTGTTTATTAAAAAAAAAACAAAAAACCCCCAAAAACATACAGCTCTCTTAGATACTCTAAGAGAGTTATACACATCTACATAGAAAAAGTAAAAAATTTCCCAACCACTCTTCAAGCAGAACAGAAGAGATTTCACTATGAAATTAAAATTTAAAAGAGAATGGAAATACCCTGTCTTCCCACTCACCATTTTGATTTTAGCTATTTTTATTGCAAGGAACAGGACTGGTTTTAGAAATAAGTAGGAGGTGAAAAGAAACCCTTAAACTTAATACTAAAAATGTAGGTTTGTCAAAGGTACTCCTTCCGAAAAAGTTTAGGAACAATATGAAAATATCAGCACTGTACCCTAATGGTATGTTAAATCTTTTATTTGCATTCAAAACACAAATGATCTATGAATTCTGCAGAATTTTACTGTTAGAAAAATATCTATCCACTTTGCAAGAATTTTTAATTAAAGCATTCCAGTTTAAAACTCATCACTAACCTATTAGGTTTATCGAAGTGGACTGCAGCTTTAGTTGATGGAGCACAAGAGGACAGTTTCTCTGTTCCTTTGCAGGGCACAGAATTTAGCGTATCATCTTTAGAAGTCCTTGAATCCACGTCGGCTGATAAAGAAAGGCTTGTTTCCTCAGTGTTTCCATGTTTATTGTCATTCTCAGAGCTCTTGATATCCAAGTACCGTCCATTGCCCTCTGAGACTGCGAGAGGCACTTGTTTTAAGGAAGGATGGGGAGCTACACCATAAACTGTTGACACAGCAAAGTTTTCATTCTTGAGAAAATCTATTTCACTAAAAAAGGAAAAGCAAAGTATGAAATATTTTTGTAGCTTTCACAAGAAGGTTCTTGGAATCACAAGACTGAAGCACAGAAATAAGGACAACATACTGAAGAGCTCCCTCTTCAACTTCAGTATGTTCAAAAATTCTTTTAATAGAAATAACTTATATCACACAAGCTGCTCAAATGAGCACTGGTTTAACGGAGTTCTTTAGTCAATAATTAGCAGTAGGAAAAATGTTGCACTCGGAGTGAGTGAATCAATGAAATAAGTGAGTAACAATAGTATTATCTGCTTCTGGCTGAAATCTGAGCACCGAGATGCAAATTGTCACGAGACAGAACTCTATTTGGGATGCAAAACTTAAAATACTACAGTGGTGAATTAACATATACTATCCCACCTGGCTTTGAAATGGTAACTATGCAAGGCAATAAAGCCACTTAAAAATTATGCACTCGCCCATATGTTGTATTGGTGCATCTCTTAAGAGGAATGAAATCTTATAGCTTACAGAATCACATGTTTTGACCAAACTTTTAAAGTCTCTTTTTTTGTTGTTGCTAAAGATACTGTCATTTCTACTAATCTTGCTCTGTAGAAAGAAAAACTGTGTTGAAATACATTATTAAAGCAAACGTCTTTCTAACAGTGTTTGCAAGCTGTACACACCGTAGTACTAAGGAGTGAAATAAAGCTGACTGAAGAGAAAACCTACACAAAACACATCAGAACTGATTCTATTTTCAAAGAAGTAAATTAAGAAGTTGCACTGAAAAGAACAAAACTGATTACAAAATTATGTAGGTAATCAAAGGGAAATAGTCAGTTTGAAGTCTCTTTTTCTAACTCACATACCATGTATTAAAAAGGAAAGACTACCCTGCTCTAAAGAACTCCTAGTAATTTTGTAAGTGTAAGTTGTATGTTTTCATATATGTGCTAGAAAAACATTGAGAAGTTATTCCAACATTTATCAGCAGTCGAGCAGATTGATAAGTACATACCTCTCAAGTCTTTGGATTTGTTCCATCAAAGACCATTTCTCACTGTTTAACACACTAATTTGATCTTCTAATTTTTGCACTATTAAACATTGCTAAATACAAGATAGAAATAAAAGAGTTTAGTACAATGAAGTTAAGTAGTACTGCAAACAGCTCAAACATTTCTTCTGTACAATCTCTTACTTCTATTGACTGCGGTGTTGTTTCAAACACAGGGACGCTCCCAAGTATAGGAGTAGCAGCCTCTAACTCATCGTCGTCTACACCAACTGATACATCCACCACATCTCTTGCAGTAACATGATGGTTTCCAAAGTCACGATAGAGTTGTAACAGGTCAGGAGGTTTCGGAATGTTCAATCCTACATCATCCCAAAGTTCAAAATCCTTCAAAGGAATAAGAGAAACTAAAGCATACAATACACTTCCTTTTATTTTCATTTCTCTTCCTCATTTGACTGCAGGTCATACAACTGCAAAATAATCATGTCAAGTTGCACTGTAGCAAAGGAGAAGGAAGCTTAAAACAGATAGCAAGAAATAAAAGTAGAAAAAGGATCCATTTCATGACCCAAAGCAGTTTCACCCTAAAGGTGTCATGTACTAAAGAGAGCACCTTCCAAAAAAGATCACAACTTCTTTTTTTTCCTAGGACGTGAACACTTTTTAGAATCAGATATAACGTTGATCAAATTCTAGCAGAAGCCAGTGCAGTTGATAAAAGGCTTTCTACTGATAGGGGTAGCATTTTGTTCCCATCTCATTCACAACTACAGGTGTAATTTTCCAGAAGCAGACAGTCAAATAGCTCTGTAGATGACCGATAGACAGGGTAAATATTCTCAGTGAAATTTGGACATAACTGTATTAATTGTGTAGAGGTGTAAACAATTCTAGGGCCTCCTATCTCAAACCATCACTATATGTCGTTCCTTTTCTCATCGACATGTTACCATCCTATTATTAGAAGATCATTCCATGTCCATATATATAAATAAGCATGTGCATTGCTATACAGGAGTTGTGACGGTCTCTTTAATGACATTAAATTTCAATTTTATTTTTTTTTTTTAACGATTTTCCTACTGTTTACAATTTTCACTATATTTTTCCAGTCTGGTTACATACACCTATTCAGAGAAAGATTATTTTCTAAAAGAATGATGTGAATAATAATAAAAGAAAAAATTGCATTCTATATGTTAATTGTAGTATGTTTATATTTACTTTTTAGAATTAAGAACACCCTTTTTTTTTGCTAATTGTCTCACAACATAAAACACTCAGTTGAGAACACATAAAAAGTAAGGATAAATTATTAATCTTTTCTCTTTTTGGGGCTGTATCCTCACAAGTATTTGTATGAAACTTAGCACTGTTAAACTCAGATCTTAAGTGGATGATCCAGAAATTTTACTTGACAACCCATTTTCTTTACTGATTAGCATATGAGCTGTAGGAAAAATACAGGAGGACTAGTTATAGATACAACGGGTTGAAATTCAATATTTAATATTGAATTAAATATTTAATTCTTCTGGCAATATTCCAGTTTTGTGTTGAATACATATATGGGGTGTTTATGCTACTGGGCATTTTGTTCACCCAGTAACAGTCAGAATGTAATAAGAACCTTCCAAACATTCGAAGAAATTTTTCCTATGAAATGCAAGCCAATAGAGACATAAAACTGATCATCTTAAGAAAAACACATCAAAGCACAGCTACGTTTGGAAATATCTAAGATAACACCTTATTACTGAGAGCTTCTCCAAGACTGTAATAGCACAGTATGACTAAGTATACTTACACAAATACATATACCCAGGAGATGACAAACAATGAGTATATTGTATATCATGCACAAATCAACTGAGTATGATTTAAGGAAAAGATTATGTTCAAAATTTTATTACCTCCAGATCCTTGAGTTTAACTGAAAGGGTGTCCATCAGTATCCAGGAAAGTGTATAAATACCTATAACTGACAGTATTTTTCTTCCTTTAAAGAATTCAAGCATTCCATCTCCTTCCCCCAAATTTTGGGAAAATCCTCCTCAAAGTGTTTTGTTTCCAAACCATGCTTTATGTATGAAAATGCTAACTAACATATTTAACTCTTAGAATACTTACATGTATGAAGTGAACTACATGCACAGGAAATATCATTTAAGTTCACTTGAGTCTATGACAAGATCAGAATATGGAAAGCAGGCATGTAAAAAAAACCCAAAAAACACCACATAAGAAAACTTTACCTGATCATGATTTTCATCTGAAAATGTTATTGATGTAAGCTTGTAACTATTCTTCAATAAAAATTCATTAACTAGGAAGTTTAGAGCTCTTTTCTCAAGAGGTCTGATTGGCTCCTGGAAAAAAAGAAAACAATGCACTACATCTTTGGTTCATCTTCCTTCCAACTACAGAAGCATATCTGTCTTAAAGTCCATGCAAAGCTCAGCTATCACCAGCCACCTACCTGAATTTCAGGACTTGATTTATAATTTTTTCGTTCCTGCAAAGGAACTTCATTTTCTGGGGAGGAAAAAAAAGTAACTAAATTTTACTCTTTCACACAAGATAAGCTCAGCTACTTCTACATCGTTCAAAGTAGAGACTTAAGAAAAGGTTTATGTACACCACCTGCAGCCTGAGTCAGGTTGGCTCGGAGGGCCTGTATGGTCTCCTTGGCTTTCCGTAGTTCAAACTCCAGGACTGGACAGGGATTTGGATTAAACACACACAGGCATCCAACCAAGGCAAGGGAAACAAAAATAAAATATAAAAAGCAAGGATGGGTGTGAAAAAAAATATACAGTTTGTATTAAACAGAAAGCATGCAATCTTCATGGAACTTATGAACACATGCAGCAGAGTTGGTCTGAAAGCAAACTGGTGAACATTTTCCATAGTTTCATTGGCCTTAAGTTAGCTAAATCCAAATTTCAAGCTGTCTGACAAGGACTCGCTGTAGGGTTTTGGAGTCTTTTTTTTTTTTTTTTTGCTTGCTTCTAACTTTGCATATTACTGGCAACCACTTGTTATTTCTTCCCCACTCTTAAAATCACCTGATACTGTCAAACGTTTCAATTTCTTGGGGCAAGAGGAATATGCGGGCAATCAGAGGACAGATGAAGCAAATACATGCTGGCAGCAGAGGAAGCTGTCTCCATGTAGCAAAGCTTAAACCATGAAGTGAATGTACTGTCCCACTGAGACTACAGATTTTTTTTTTTGAAAATAAAATTATACACTGAAATTTTACTAGTTTATATGGCAGAATTTGAACATACTTTATTTTACTACTAAGAACAATCTCATTTTTAAATATCTATTTAAAAATAGTGGAGTTTTAGGAATACTCTGGAGTTGATTAAGATTTTTAATTTAGTTGTATACATTTAAGAGATGCACAAGATCAAAAAAAGCAAAACATGCAACTCTCCTATAGCACTTACAGAGAAGCTTGAAACAAAAGTATCTTTGCTCCATTATTCTTAAAAGTTTCCAGTGATTCTAGACTATACAACACTTTCAATGATCTAGAGTCAGCTTTAGAGATTCAAAAATATGTAATTTTAGCTGCTATTATCACTTGCTCCACCTCCCTGGTCACAGTTATGTGTTTCTCATGTTCCAATGTTTCCTCCAAAAAGGGCCAGTAGTGTTTTGTTTGCACTGGAATTTCATGTGTTTTGATACTGAGGTCATGTGTATACTGTGGCTGCAAATTTTAAAACCCTGTACCTTTGCAAAACATACAGTAAATGCTCTTTTTATAGGCATTTACAGTTAGTGCATCTAAAGGAACCTATTTAAGGAATTACCAGATAATAATAATAATCAGATTAATCTAATCACACTTAAGTATACAGTTACCAGAAAGAAGAATTCTTGGTACTTAACTAGATGAGCCCAGAACAGCTATCATACTAAAGTGTTGAACTATTCAAAATAGATTATCTAACCTTTACTTTATTCCCATGCAAAACTAAAAATGTTGTAGCTGCTTTTAATAAGAAAATATTAATGAGATTTTTGATCATTGCCTGGAAACAATTTAACATGGCATTTTGAAATATTTTCACACAGGACAATGCATGGCAGAAACACTGCATTGGTTCTTGCTTGTAAGAAATGCTACTGAAGACTACAAATAAAACAGTTTCCTCTTTTCAATAGCTGTTTCTAAGCATCTTTTGATAACTAGCATGCATGGAAAAAAAGATTCACTCAGTTTGCATTTATCCATAAAAACTGAAGGAGTAACTACAGTACACCACATTTGCTACATGAAAGTAACTTGTTTGATGCACAGAATTTTACTGCAGCAATACAAAAGCGCAACTGAGGATACAATGAATAAAATATGTAAAATCTCTCTAGTAGTCAGCAATGCTGATCTGCAAATACTTCTGTGCAACAAAGTTAGAAAATGCTCTTGTAGTAAAGTATCTAATAATTTTAGCACTTCCTTGCATTTGAGTTACTAATTCACAGTTACGATTCTAAGTTGTAAGCTACTAATTTGTTAGTTTTTGAAAATTGTGAAGAATTCAAATTAAGTAATTCTTCTGATGGCAATGACTATGTGTTAACATTTTATTCTTGTAAAATATTTTCAAAGACCAGAACAGTTGCAGATCAGGAGTGCCCTGCACTAGAATGATATAAATAATAAACAAAAAGTTAGAAAAACAACACAAATGAGAAAAACTCAGGAATCCCATTAAGGAAAATAGGAATAAGACATGTCTGAAGGCATAGAAAGCCAAAAAACTCATGTCAGACAAACCCATGTCAGACGGCAAGAATTAATTTTTAGTGAACTGTCATGATGCTGAAAATTCTTAGTAGCCATTAGGACTTTACCCATTCAACCTTAGAAGTAGATTACTCTGCTGCATGTTTCTCTGTATACAGTGGAAGATTCTGGACATAGTGTATTTGAGAAGCTGTCACTTTGCAGCATGTCACAACAGTCACATAATTCTACTACAACACAGCATTGCTACAGTTGTACCTCATCCCCTCGTCTTACTAATGCCACCATTGTAATTGCCACTATACAAACCTTGATGCATCTAAGTCACAAACGTAGCTTTTATTTGAAGAAGTTTGTAGTTTTTTTATATAAACATAAATATTTTTAAACAGCTACAACATAATTTCAATCAAATTTTAAATTATGATGAAAGCTCTTTATTTTAGAAGCCATACTGAAATGCAATCTTCTGCCCAAAATATATAATGATTTTTAACTCAACTTATGTGCTAATGAAATCAACACTGGAAATCCCTATTTGTTGATGATAGGACATTCTCTAAAATTAAAAAAGCAACCTCTAACCCCTTTCTTTGTAACCATTATCAAGTACTGACTTCTAAAATAAATTATCTGATATCCCCCTGGCTCCTTTTGTTGTAAAGCTTATGTACCTTGGAGAAGTTAAGCACTGATAAAGCCAGCTAAAGTTTAACTTCATGCTTGACTGAACTGATACCTTGTATAACTCATTATAGTACTTGGCGAAAGGAGCTGACACTCCTTAAGAACGATGCACAGAAGAGTTTTGCTGCAGACAGCCTAGGTAAGGAAAGAACCAAATTGATTCTCCTCTACATCAGGAAAGCAGAGAACCAAAATTTAGAGCTCTGAGGTTGGTTAATCTTCCTACACGGAAAGGGCATTTCTGAACAATCTGTTTTGCCTTAGGGGAGAAAACGGTTCCGAATTTAAGTGGCTCTCTTGCTTTTTCTTTATAAAAAGAAATCACTTCAGCTACCATTCTGAAAAAAAATTACTTAGACTTAAGTAAGAGCTGAATCTTTCAAGCAAGCAACTAAGCATTAGACCAAGATTTTCAGATTAGTGATTTTTAAATGTTTCAGTTTTCATGCAGCTAATCTAATACACCTTAAGAGAGAAGTGCCTATCAGCAGTGGGTAGCTTGTCTGCTCAGCTTTGAAATCTAAAAATGAAGCTTTCTCAAGGATCTTATTCTATTCACCCACACTTGTTAATAACTTTATAAGTTATTGAACCATAGATTGAGAAGTTAGCTATAAAGAAAAAACCTGTGATTTGGGATATTGAACAAGTTGAGATCTACATCAACACCAGTCTTGTTGGGCCAAGGCCAAAAAGTTGAAGGAATAAACAGTACTTCTAAAAATTTTCAGTACTTGCTTTTGTATAAGCAGTATTTTTTCCAATTATACTAGAATCTTACATTTTACATAGGAATTATCTTGTCAGACTTTTGCATATTTCAGTATGAAGTACTTCAGACAACAGTAGAAAGGTAGTTTTATGTTATGAAGCCACTATATGGAATTCTAGCGTTTTCTTTTAAAAGCAGTTCTCCTCTGAAGTACCAAGGGCCCCTGTGCTTACCTAGCTTTCCCCAAATTTAGACATACTGTTACAAGTTTTGTTGTTGTTTGTTTCTTAACTGTCATTTTGAGTTCTTCCTCCTTGTAAAGTAAATGGAGAACTCTAGATGTCCTGAATTATGCCCTCTAGAACACGTATGACATCCCATTACATTTGATGGATTTGTGCATACGTTTTGAGTCAATCAGAAGAAATTTAAATTCTCTATAATTAGCAATGAAGCCACTATCACAATATACTTCAAGACCTGAGATTTCGTAATTCCCACTTCCCTGACACAAGTCCTAAGAAGAAAAGAAGTAACCGTATTTACAGTCAGCGTGAAACACTTCAAGATGTAACACAAACAGACCTGAAACGGAAAGTTGTACTACAGCACGAGAGATGACTATCAAGCTACAAAAATGATGATCAACATGAGAGTTCATGAGCAAGCTAACAGAGAACTTGTTGGCTTCCCACTATTAGAATGATAACACTTGACTCGTTAGCCTCATTAATGCTTTTAAGTTAATGAGACAGGGCCAGCTACAGAGAAGACCTGAACTACAGCAGATTCGTCTTCAGGTTCAACCCTCGGAGACTATCGACCTGGAAGGAAATTAAGGAGGCATACAACTGCTTAACAGGACTTAAGACAGGAAATGGGAAGTCAAAACCAGACCCACTTCCAGGATGAACAAATTGAACACACCATTTTAGCAAGTAAGTGTTGTATTACAGATCCTCTTGTGTTTTGTTTTTGTTTTGTTTGTTTGTTTTGAAGATTCTCCTCTGACTTGGATTGCACACAAGAAATAGTACTTATTAAAAAACATCAACAAAAGGCTCTATAAAAAGCAGAAACTGCGAACCTAAGGCGAGATAAATGAAATCCTTAAAAATAATCAAGTGGTTTTTGAACTTGCCTCTTCCCTTCAAATCCTTACAGGGACAGTATCTTATTCTGCTAATCAGAGATACATTAGTCTAGCCAGAAATCAATGCTAATGCAGGGAGATTTGAGAACACAAATGATTGAAAGGGAGTTTGATTACAAGAATTTATTTTATTATCATTGAAAATACAGCATTCTGTTTTTAAAATTATCAGATTCTCAGGAGAGTAGATGTCAAAGGTTAGCAATACTAAATATTTTGAATTATGGAAAGTAGGGGTTTTTCATCACAAACATACTTGTGCACATGGTCGATTTAAGATGTGGCAGAAGCTTCAGTTCCTTAGACTGAATGTCAGATGACCTATTTACACCAAATGCTGTGGGTATTTGACTTCAAGTTAGGCATACTCTTATTCCACAGGAATGGAACAGGTTTTCCATTCTCTGGTTGTTTTACGAAAATTAGTATTTGGAGGAGCTTCCTTCGATCAGATTTCCCAAGCAACAAGTTCACACCAACTCTTCAAAACGTTTGCTTCTAGGCCAAATTTTGATTCTAACGCCAGATGGAATGAACTGGGCTAACAGATTTGAAATACCGAAATCCATTTCAAACAAGAGTTCTTTTAGTTATTTCCAGGAATTTTTGGATTGGCAAAATAAAAAAATATGGCACCTACGTCTAACACCACCCATAATGGCAAAACAGAAATATGATGGCTTCGGATGGTATACATGCACATTTTTTGATTTGGTGCTTTCTAACATTGCCATGGCATAAAAGTATTTGTAACTGGATGTGTTATAACTTCAGTTTTAAAGTCCTTCTGACTCGGGACCAGTTAGTGACTGATGTGCATTTATTTCCTACCCTTCATTTGACATTTGACTAGGGAATTGATATGGAAATCATGGGTTCTGGCCAAACAGTAAAAAACAAAGATAACAGCATGAGAAAGGCATTTACAAAAAGAAACCATTCAAACCTCACTCTGAGAACTATCAAAAGAAAAATATGACTATCAGATCATGGCCTCAAGCTTTCACAACAGATTACAATTTTATCTCCTAAGCATCAAAGCTCTTTGCTGAGAAGAAAGAATATGAGAAGACATAAGCAGGATGGACTTCCAGTTATGTTTCAAAGCACATTTGCAGCCAAGAACTACTTCAAAAGCAGAATTTGTAAGCCAGAGTTTGTTCAAAGAAGGAACTGGATATGAAAAGTTTTTGAAACCTCTACTGAAAATTTTTTTATGTGCAAATTAAACACTTCTCAGTTTCCTGAAGTTTATTGCTCAGGTAGATGGTTTTAAACAGAACTGAGGCAAAAGACTTTAAGCAATTATAATTGAACCAGAATTTTAAGTAGAAATAGGATATTTTGGAAAACTCTGAGTCTTTACAAACATCCAGAAATAACATCTGGTCTTGCTTTGTTCAAGTTCTTACGTCACTTTTTAACAACTCTTCAAAAAACCTCTCTAAAGGAACACAGAAATGTAATGAAAATATCCTGCCATATAATTTGTTTGTCTATTACATATGACAGTGGTCAATTAATATACTGTAATCTTCAAAAACCTCTTTATATATTTTAGGATGTATTTAATTATATTTAATATTTGATTTTAGGATATATTCATTTCATACTGGAAGTAATCAATATTTTGTCATTAATGTTCCGCCAGATTAATGGTTCTACTGGATGTCAATTCTGACTGGTCTTTACTTTCTGTAAGCATCTGTAATCCAATTCAGTTATTAAAGACAGCTTCAAGTAACGATCAAACTAGCTCTCTCAGTAATACTATTGCCAAGAAATATTGACTAGAAACAGGAAAAATCTACCAAGAAGATGAAAAAATTAAAATATATGGAATCTGCTTTTTTCTTCCTTGTATTCCAAGACACAATTCAGAAATACTTGGGTTCCTTAAACACACTTTGTTCAGAAGATTAGCTGTGTATTTACAACTATTGCCTCCTTGAAACTGACTACGTATATTGAAAAAGACAGTAATTAGATAGTAATAAGAACCTGGGAGTTTCCATATAAATCGAAGAACAGTAAGTTCCAGACCAGAGCACCAAAATACCTGAATTTGCTTCATGTTCATGAAGTTAATCCAGTCCTTTACCTCAGAAACACTGGCTGGGTAAGAAAAATGAGATTTTCCCAACACTTGTTTCTTCTCTCTGGGTCAATACTGATTGCCATTTCAGACTGACTGAGAGAGGAAATTTCAGAATCAAGATCCTTTATAGAACTATGTTTCACCAGACTTTGCCTAAGAACGTGAAGGTGTTTCTGCTAGGATGAAGCCTGGTGGTTCAGAGCAGAGACAATAGTGTGGAACAGAGAAACAGCAGCTTGCATCATTTCAGGTTTCATAAAGCTAAACTATGTGAACAAAGGTCACTGCATGGACAACCTTCATGTGCTCGTGATATTAAACAGTATGAACTGACCAGAAGTAAACAGAGTTCTGTAGCAGTTTCTAGAGAGCTTTTATGAGTTTCTCTATAGTGAATAACTTAATATCTGAACTTAGAAAAAAGCCTGGATTAGAGAAACATGGCTCACATGCAAAAGATGATATAATAATTTCAAATATAAGAGAAAAGCAGTCTCTGCTTTTGGTGAGATAATCATAAATCCTGAAATTAAAAATACCACAGGCTCCTAAGTTCAGAACAACTGCAAGAGGCAAAACTCCCTGTCACTTCTTCGAAACAATCTTATACAATCAAGAAATCAAATGCGAGAGAAAAGCACTACAATTAAGACCTGTAGCGAAGAAGATTTATGGAACTGAGAAAATCCCAAATTTACTCTGGGTTTGGTAATGCTTGTTTGATCTACACGTAAACTATATTTAAGATATGACTTGCTATAGATCTTTACATCAGACAGCTATCACCCATGTAGTAGTCACAGACTCCTACATATACTATCTTAGCATGTACTTCAGCTAAACAGTAGTCAGTAGGCAACAGCAAGATAATGTTCTATTGTCAAAAAGTGGGCACAATTTTCAAGTATACTGCTTGCTTCTACCACGGTGACATCTGGAATCATACAGAAGTACACCTGCCTGAATATTTACAGTAATTATAGAAGTGTCTGAAACATGATTATATCATTAAGTAATTAGCTAAATCACCACAGTGAAGTCTTGTCATCTTCAGGAACGTTCATTTAAATATACTTATGCTAGAAACAACAAGTCAAATGGTAAAGTTAGCATTCTATGATTCCTAAATCATACAAAAAACTTACCTGCTACTCTTTCATCCGTTTCCCTATTGCCATCATCAGAGTATCTTGCAAAATCTAAGGAATCAAGAGTACTGATGCTTCCAGCACGATCTTAAGGGGGGGGAGGAAAAAAAAAAAAAAAAAAAAGGATATCAGAAAAAAATCCTGAAGAGTTGACTGGCTTTGACAGAGAAAGTCAAAACATCTTCTCATTTCAGAAACTACAAATCAAAAGTTAAGTAAGTGTTCTTCAAGATTGAAATTTTACTGCATTTTGTAAAAGTCTGTCTCTAAGTAAAGAATATGTCTGTAAATTTAAAAAAAAAAAAACCAAACAACATTACAGCAAGTTCAGTGAACAGTGAACACTGTAAGAAATTCACCCTTGCTCCCCTGAAAAGGCGGCATTTCTACCCTGCTCACAGCAGCTGAGGAGCAGGGCAGTGTAGCACTTCCCCTTTTCCACGAGGGCCAGGGACCTTTGCTTGGACTTGCAGGTGAGCACTCACAAGAAACCAAACTGTTCTGCAACAAGTTTCAAGTAGTGATGTTCCCATTTTGCAGAAACCTGTAACTGCTCCAAATACGCTACTTCCTTTTCCCTTTTTTAATATTTTAAGAGATGTTAACATGACCAAATACTTTTCTACCTATCTCCTGATCTAGCTATTAACTTCAGTACATACCCACTTAATACAACATTTACTAAGGAATGCATTATCCAGCAAAACCAAAGCAAAGCAAGTACAGTTCATGCTATTGCAGGTATAATAGTCACACTCTAGAATTAAATTGTTAATAAAAAAAAAATTCAAGAAATTCAGTAACCAGCATAAGGTTTTGGTCTGACCTTGAGATTTTTCATTTGGGGGTGGAGGGAATCAAAGGAAATCCAATTTAGATAATTTCAAGTCTGTTGAAGCACACATTCACCATTTTATTAGAAAAATGCGCAAAGAAATTACTTGGTGACAGAACCCAAAATAAATAGAACACGTTCCTAACACAATTGAACATGCAAAATTATATTAAGTAACTTAGTATCTTTCCCCTTCTTTTGAAATCAACTTCTATGTAGCATTTCAGAAATAATTTTAATTACTTTAGAGCTGTTGTCACATTAACAAAGAACAAATTCCATAGGGCTGTCAAAAAACCTCGTAACTGTCAGTGGAAATAGAAGCAATTTCATCACTTGTCAGTCAAATTCTGTCATGACTAACATCACAAAGTATTTAAATCCCCCCCTCAATTCCGCATTATGTGAAAAAAAAAAAATCTATTAATGAGTTTCCTTTTTTGTACATTTGAGCCTAAGTTGTCCCTTAAGGTCTTGTGACACCCTCTCTACATACAGGCCAGCACTAGATGGAAATAAGAACACCTGTATTGAGACTGATTAAAGCATCTACACTCACCTGAAAAGCTATAGAGAATACTAAATTTGCCAACTCCAGCCGAGTTATACAGTACCAAAACTAAAGTGCCTGGCAACCTTAACTTGTCTGCTTTATGGACATAAAGTATATGACAGCATACAGTTTATATTTAACCACAATTTTTTCCCCATGACTATGCTTTGTCATCCAGGCAATGAAACAGACTGTTGCTGCTCAACAAGTCTCTATTCAGTATTTAGTTTTAAAACTTACTGTTCATTTGCAGGTTCTGGTCTTATCTGTTGCATTTTTTCCAGACATTAATCCGATTTAATAATTCTCTCTAGGCTGTTCTATAGCACTTAGCAGCATAGTACAAACTCTTCTTTTTACAGCATCTTTGCAAAATGGACCATTGTGAAAACAAACCAGATTTTATATATGGGGAACCACATTTAGAGTGGTTAAGTTAAAAAGTAAACGTAAACTTTGCACGCACAGCATGGAAGTCTTCACAGCTGACTTTTCAAAACACCTAATACCTTGTTCAGTAAGTACTGCTCCAATTTATTTCATTGGGAGCTGCAAGATCCATTTTTGAAATCAAATTCAAGACTCAAGTTAAAGAAACAGACAACATTCAAATAGAGATCTCAACAAAAAGCTGATATTTAAGAAAAGTGACCCAGTCTCATACATAGGATCGCTATGGCAAAAGCAGAAATACAACTCTGTTTCCTCCTGCAGTCTTGCCATGTTCACAAATCAATTTTCTATTTCTCATATGAAGCAGGTAAAAATCAGAGAAACAATGCTCAAATTTTCAGGTAAAGTCAACCACATCATAATTAGTGAAGCATCCAAAGCCATAAGAAACAAAATCTTTTTCATATGACTATTGGCATGCTTTAGAGGCAAAGGCTCTCCCCCCACATATGATAAAACAAATCCAGCCATAAACCACAAACTTATTTGCCAAAACAGCCAGAAACTTCTTGAAAAAAACAGGTGTCTAGAAAAAAGCATGGGATGTATACAACAGAAGCCATTTAAGATCATACCAGCAGCTGTAAATCCAACAATTCACAATTCCTAACCAGTGAATATCAACCAGTTTTACAACCTTAATGGCCCTTACAGAAACTAAATAAAACCAAGGGTTTATACGACTTTAACACCCAGAAACTGCCTTAAACACCACATCTACATGCAGAGCAGCAATTTGTAAGGTTGAAACTTGTACATTTACCATTTAGATTTCTCCTTATCATTACAATGTTCATGATAACAGCAAACATCCAACACACTCTTACATACAGGTTGGCATTACGAAGAGACACAAATATCTAGATTCAGATTGATTAAACCAAACAAAGATGTGCAGAGGAACACCAGCCTCATGGCCTGTTTCCTGCTACCATTATTTGTCTCTCCCATTAATGCTGATCCTCCTTCCCATTACAAAAGTACCTGCCCCAGTTGTCATCATCCCCCAAGCATGCTGTCAGTACTAAACCAATTTTGGTGCTAGAAGTCGTTATGGCCACAGTGTTCAATCTGAAGATAACATTTAAAATGAAAACTGTCTTTATGTATCACATTGATGGAACCTGAATCTACATGGAGAACTGTGTACAGCTATCCAAATAAATGCTGAAGGAAATTAAACAGTAACAGAGACAACTGTATACACACACAGGCTGAACAGTATCTTCTCAACTGAGTGTCCCACTAGATGATACATATTGCAGAACTCAAGTTGGGAAATTATAGCTCCCATAATGCAACTCAAACAGAAGGGTTAGCTCAAATAATGTACCAAGACTTCTACCACTACTTGGCTATAGGATACTGCCTTGAAAATATGTGGTGTGGCTACAGAATTGGTTCCTGCTGTTAAGAGGCTACCAGTGCTGAAGCACTTCAGCTGAGACATCTCCTGACCAAACTGGCTCCACAGGCATCAATGAATCATCAGTGCCAAGGTTAACGCTGCCAAGCCCCAGCTACGGGGAAAGCCCAGTCACAGACACTGTTGCACTGCCACAGCTCCCACTGAAGCAGGCGTTCCCAGCAGAAGGAAAGGAAGCGATGATGGAGCTGCTCCCTCTGCCTTCAGTGCCGGTGCAGCTACCTGTTTCTGCTCCCCGCCTGGAAAGATGGGCTTCCACCACAGCCAGGCTGGGTGAGGGTCAAATGGCAGCTCCACCCCCTTGCCCTCATACTGCAAAGCCCGGAGTGCCACATGGCCCTTGCCTGCCTTGGCTACACCACAGTCTCTGCCCCGAGGCACAGCTGCTGTGGAGCCAAGGCTGAAGGGAGAGCCAGCAGCGGAGGGACCTGCTGCTTCTATCAATGCCACAGCAGCGCTAGTGGCCTGGATCTTGCCCTGCTGGGACTAGGCAAGATGAGTTTTGGAGCCATTATTGCACAACATATTGAGGCTTCTCAAGGAACAGCGCCAAGCACTGCACAGGAACATAGGTTTAAACAGCAAAAAGGGATTTCTGACAGAGTCTGCTAAGGTATCAGCCATGGGATAACAAGGTGAGAAGAGAAAGCTAAACGAGACAGTTAACTGAAAATATTGCCGAGGAAGGTGAGGGCTGGCAAGTCTGCCAGACATATCATCAACAGTAGAGGCATGGCACACACACGCTGCCTGGCAGGGCTGTGCTGAAGACTGCCCAAAGCTGAGCAGCGGCAGGCCTGCCCCATCGCTTCACCTACATAAAACATCACCATGGGGGTAACTGTACCTGTTGCCTCACTCCTTACCACTGCCTTCGTAGGCAGTCCTCAGCAGAGGTCTGTCTCCTAAGACTAATGCCATCATCCAGAAAATTACAGGATAACATCATATAACCTCAGATTTTACAATTCCGTAAAGGATGTACCTGCTCACCAAAGGATCAGAGGGTGAAAATGGTGCCTCCCTGCTGGCAACGCAACAGCCTCATTCGCCAGGAAAATGAGCAGCGCTGTTTGAAAAAGGGGAATCGGCAAGGGACGGGCTGTGCTCAGCCACGTAGCTCACCTGAGGAATGCGAAACATTTCCATTTTTCTGAAGTACAAACAGTTGTACTCCAGCACACTGAGTGGAAGTATTTCAACTAAAGCATTCAGAAAAGAGAACTACTTTCTGAACTGAAAGGAGAAAAGAAAGGAGAATAAAAAAAAAAAATCAATTTTTTTTTAGGAAAACAATGTATATTTCTTCACTTTATTTTTTTAATAAAAAATAAAAATCTTAGGTTTAAGTTATTTGGCAAAGAATAATCAAAGCAGAACCTTGCAGGGGGAAAACCACCGAAAAGGAGAAGTACAATTTGGCTGAATTCTGTTTCTTTTCTGGAAAAAAAACCCAATGTGACACAGCAGTGGGAAGCCATTTTGCTGTCATAATATACACAATCTTATCAACAGCCTTCTGTGCATGGATTTTACATTTCTTTCTCTAGTATTCTGAATTAAAACACTTTTCTTTTTAATCAGCAATTCCTTTTTGCTAAAAGCTTTCCTAGTGAATAGTGAAAAAATAATTGCTGTCAGTTTAATGTGTCAGAAATGGTAACACAACAAAACAAGAACAGTTTTGACAAGCAGGTATAAACAACTCCAGAAAGCATATCACTGCAATATGGAACAAGAGATTGCCACAGGTGCATAGAAAACAAGTGAAATAACCTTAGGCTTTTCATAGCTCATAGTAGCGAAATAGCCAGGAGGTTGACTGCGATAGTAAAGGAGAGCCTGTGTATAGTTCTTGTCTCTTACCTCCACCACTGGAAAAGGAGTAACAAAATGAGAAAGCCAAGATTCATATTTGATACTCAAAGCTAAGAAGTTTTTTAATCCATTTGTTGAAAAATGCAATGTTTCTAATTTCATTTGTGAAGTTAAAAATCAGGTTCACCACAACGTCTTGCCTATTAATCTTTTAAGATACTGCTTCATTCCAGCGGAAAGGAATTTTAATTCCTTTCTTATTCCCAGAACTGTCACCTGTACAACACACAGATTTCTGCTGACAGCTTCTGTTCCCTAGTCACATTCAGCTCTTTCACTGAAAGCTGAGTATAACTATATACGGAGGAAAACGTAAAAAAATCTCAAAACAAGTGATACATCCCCTTCCACTGACGTACGTAATATTAAAGAGGTTAAGTTTCATTCACTCTGATGGTAGAAACAGTTTCTTTTTTTTCCAGCTTACCTAAAGGGACACCAAGAGGGATCATATTAGCCAGTTTCACAGTACATGAATTAAGCAGAAATAAGTTTCAGTCTTCTACAAAAATACATTATTAAATAATCTTTACATAAGCATAACATTGTCAATTTGCTACAAACACAGACAAACCAAGCGATACTACTTCTTGAAAGAAAGGCTCGAGAAAAAAAAAATTAAAATAAATTAAAATAACTGGCTACTGGAAATTTTGTTTTGATTAGCATCCATATGGAACAAGATGCAGTGCAAAGTGAATCCTTCCCAACCGAGATCAGAGCAGCTTGCCACTGGATATTCCACATACTAGGACAAAATCTTTCCCAGTTTAAGCCAGGCTTTACATGAATTACATGGCTATATGTAGGAAGAAACAGCTGTAGGCAGACAGCTCACATATCATAGGAAGTTACTATCTCCAAGAAAGGTTGTATAAGTCCGAAGTCCATTAGTCTGAATAATAATTTAGGCCTATCATGCTATTAACAGAACCATCATCTAGACCCTTCAGGAATCCATCCTCACACATCACTCTTTGGAGAAGCAAGAAAACCCCACTATTTTGCATTCAAAAAGGAAAACAAAGACCACTCTCTGAAGACATTATACCTGATCGTTTAATACAGTTCTACTTGCCATTTACTATAGCCTTACCAAACAGGAACATGCAACATACCACAGGCTTGGAAAGAAATGTTATGGAACATTGTTCATGCTACTGGTATATAGAGAATTCTGAATATTTATCCAAGCAGAGCTCCAGAAGCTCTGGAAGCTGTTCCAGAAGCACAGACTTCCTTCCCCACCCCTTCCCCTTTTTTTTTTTTTCTTTTTTACTTAAAATGTGTTAATATTGGTGTCAGAAGTATCACACAAGAAACTTGATCCACCAGAAGTAATTTTATTTGATAATAATACACTCTCTTCGCTTAAATTAAATTTTTCACTACATAGGATTTCACTAGGGACAAACCTTAACAAGGCCTCTCAGTTCAGTCCCAGGTACAACTCCACTTACAAACCATCTCAAGTTAATGCCTTCTAGCTTCTCCTGAATAAAAATAGACATTTAAAGTTACATAAGTGAATGACTGAGGCCATCAAAAATTATTCCTTAGCATCATCATCTCGATGGCTATTTCTAGAAAAGGAAAAAAAAAAACAACAACAAACAACCAAACCAACAGGACTCCAGGATGCAATTCTCAGCAGCAGTAGAAGTAAGTTGTACTTCATTCTTCCACTGATCATTGAAAATGTTTTGTATAACAAAATTATTAAAATAAAGAACTGCTAAGGTTTAATTTTCTTATGAATTAAAAAACCCATGATAATTCAACCGACATTCTACACCTTAATATATAGCAGTAGATTAGACTCCAAATGTTATGAACTACCATACCATGAAAGTAGCTAGTGATTATAAATGTCAGAAAACCATGTAATTACAGCTGTATGTGCGAGAATTCAAGCAAAATTTTCTAATTTTGAGATACTCTTTCAGATCTATTAAAAGTGAAAAGCTAAAAGACCCCTACTGCAACATTTTTCAACCTACAACCCATGGACTATTACTAAGACAAGCTTTAAGATAACGAAGGACGTAGTTCTATGTAACTTCAGAAAATATACAGAAGTTTTTCCTGATGAGTTACGCTATTGTTATGGGTTAAGCTCTTCCTCCTCCCAATATACACATACAACACTTCTCGCATGTAGGAACCTCTGGTGGAAAATTTTCCATCCAAAAGAAAATTATGTCATAAGGAGATCAAAGATGAAACTCTAAGGGGTCTGCGAATCACAGGTTGGAAAAAATTTCATATACGTCTGGAAAAGTCAACAGTACAACATATTTTATAGGGTACAGCTTATCTTTACATTTAGGACATCCAACCTAATTTTTAAGTTCAAAGAGGCAGGCAAACCAGCAAGTACTCTGATAACAGATCCCGACTGAGAAGCTTCTTTAGGAACTACTCAGGTCTGCCACTTTTTTCCTTTTTTCCCTGTGCTACAAGTACAATAAAAGAACTGTTGAAGTTCAGTCCTAAGGAAATGAAAGTGTAAAAAGTTATATATTTACAATATCACAGGCACAAAACAGCAGAAGCCCAGGAAACTGGGGACAGAGACTATCTGGGAGAAAGAAAAATCTTCCTCTTGTATTTACTTGCACATGCTTAAGCCCTGTATTACTGAACTGCACATATGTGTATGTGAATAAACGAACTGGCAAGAGGGGTGGCATTCACAGAAGATGTGGAATAATGTAAAAACCTGAATAGCTTTAATAGAGTCCTTTCTACATTAAATCAAAGGATCAGACATCATTAACACTTTAAAAAGTGATCATCAATTCACAGTTTGTATTTGTGGCTGCATTATGTAGCAACTGAAATAGATATGTTGTGCAATACATATGAATAAATTAAATAAACTATTTAATTCCTCATAAATGATACTGCAAATTTCTTTAAGCCTTACCAAATTTCACAAGATAACTCTGGAGCAATATTACTTTAAGAAGTCTTAAATGGCTGCTGCTTTTAGAACTTCTGATATGTTTCAACTTGTTCCAAGCTTACCAATGCTGGATCAGCCAGCAAAGCAAACTTGATCCATGGCAGCAGATATCTGATCTGGCATAAAACCTTTATGGTAGAAACAGACTTATGTATCAATTTTTTAGACCAATTTGAACTTGTAGAGTAAATTTTACCAGATCAACACATTCCACATGTCTATGGTAACTCTGAGATGGCACTAAATTGTAAGCACCTATCAATCTTGTTTTGCAACTGCAAGTGTTCTTACTCAATGAGACCTGCTGAATTTTCAAAGTTGGTATGTTCTGAAAAGAAGTCCTCAGACCATCATCAAATGAAAAGAAAACTAAGTTAAGTAAAGCTATTAGAATAAAATTAACTTTCAAGCTGTCAGAGCAATCCACTTACAAATTACTTAGAACAGGCATTCAAGATGATCAGATAATACTAGCCATGATGGGCAATCCAAACGAGATTGAAAACAGATGATCAATACATTTACCTGCTTCATATTACTAACAAGCTATGAAAAGTCATAGAAATTTTATGAGGGTAAAAACCCAAAAGCTACTTGGAGAAAAATAACCTATGCTTGCTCACCAAGAACAGCAGGGAAAAAATAACCAATCACCAACAAATATTTTGCAGATACATTGCAGAAAAAAGCTATAACCCTCATTCCCACGACAGGCACACAGCAGAAGCTCATGAGAAAGATGAAATTACAAGTAGAAAATAGATAGATCTTGCACCCTAGCACAGAAATAACACACGCTCACTGAATTGGGTTGAGATACAGATGCACGTGAGCTGATCTCAGAGAGCGCCATACCACTAACATACTGCTTTTGCGGGGGGGCTTACTGCATAGACGGTCTCAGGCAGCATCCAAAGTAGTTGAGTCTGAAAGAATTAACCCAGCCCTGCACAAAGCCATTTGAATGTTGCTGCAGTGAACGCTGACGGCCAGGGGCATATGACCTTGGGGAGAGCAGCAAACCCAGCGTGGCTCCCTACATATGTGCTGCAGTGTGCTTGAGCTACCAGAGCTTCCCAAAACAAAAAAGCTAAGGGAGAATCATGGCACAGAGGTACTTCTTCCAGCTCAAGACCCCAGCTGGCTTCAGCAGAAATCAGAAAGCATCAACAGCATCAAATTAACTCCATATGCTCAATGTTGCAGCACTGCATTTCCCAAAGTGTATCAATTAACTTCCATTACGAGAATTTTTCCATTCTCCACAGTAGCCCAGCTTTCGGTTATACTCTCTGACATCAAGCAAAAACATATCAGTCTAGTCCTTAAATTGCTGTCTTTGCTGAGGGACTACTAAAGTGTATCGTCAATACCCATCTTAATTCTCAAGCATTGTATTGTCTCAGTTTTCTTCATATTTCAATTCTCGTGTGTTCCCCTTTCCCCGATTTCTACAGTTATCTCAAGACAGCAGTAAGTTTTCCAGTTAAGTTTTAACAATGTGTGCACATGGATTCTATAAAAAGAATTTAAAAAACATTAAAAAAAAAAACAAAAAACAACCCAAAAAACCCCTAGCAACTAGAAACCGAAGCATCTCTCCTATGAGGAGAGGATGAGAGAGCTGGGGCTGTTCAGCTTGGAGAAGAGCAGGCTCAGGGAGGATCTCATGAATGTACATAAATATATGAAGTGAAGGTGCAAAGAGGACGGAGCCAGGCTCTTCTCAGTGGTGCCCAGTGACAGGACCAGAGGCAGTGGGCACAAACTGAAACACAGGAGGTTCCCTCTGTACATCAGGAAACACTTTTTTACTGTGATGGTGACCAAGCACTGGCACAGGCTGCACATAGGGGTGGTGGAGTCTCCATACTTGGAGATATTTAAAAGCTGTCTAGACAAGGTCTTGGGCAACCAGCTGTAGGTGGCCCTGCTTGAGCAGGGGGATTGGACCAGATGACCTCGAGAGGCCTCTTCCCACCTCAACCATGCTGTGATTCTGTAATTTTTGCCATGATTTCTCTTACTCCAACAGTTTTGTCAAATGACAAAGCAGCTGATAGCTCTCTCCCTTCCAACATCAAACCAAGATGAAAAAGTACTTGTTAGATAAATAAGAAATCCTTATTCTGTGAGTTTTTACGTAACAGTATTTCCTCCAATTCAACAGCAAAGTAATCAGCTGCATCACCATCATGCAGTGTTATATTGGAGGAAGGGAGGAAGTAAACTTCCTTTCCCCTATGATGCACCGATTTCTCAAGGGCTTTTTCCGCTTCTTCTTTCTTAAAAAAAAAAAAAAAAAAATCTTTACAGATTTTTTTAACTTTTTGTCCAACAAACTCAATGTACTTTGTGCCATGTCTCAGGCACGTGCATCATAAATAAAAAGACAAGGCCTACAACTTTTACTGAATCACTCAAAGTTTTAACCTATGCTAGAGGAGAATTCAACTCAGTTTCTCAAACCTGCATCTTTACAATACACTAGAAAACCAAATACAAGTAATACATTGAAGAGTTATAACTCCGAACACACAACAGCATAAGGTTTTATGACTTATCTTTATGTATTGATAGGAAAGAGACTTCTGATGCTGTATTTTAAATAGTTCTGTATATATATAAATTACCTAACTCAGAATTTGTAACAAATCTTAGTTTAGTTTGAAAGCACGAAACCTTCCTGAAAAAGATTCTTTTTCCATATTTTCATTAATTCTGAGTTTATAAAACACAGAAGTCCAGTATTTACAAATTTTAAATTAACAGAGATGATGGACTGCGCGCAGATCAACTTCCAACACAGCTGATATCAATACCTACTTGATCATGATTTGCCTGCAAATACTAGACAAATCTTTCCATATCAGGTAATGAATCTTGTATAAAATTTCCAGCAAGCGCTCTCTCAGCTGAACACAATTTACGAGTCACATCTTCAGTCAAGAAAAAGATAATTCTCAGAGGAAGAAAAGCTACAGGAAACTTGATATAACTTATACAGAATTGAAATTATATACAGGGGAGCTTAAAGAAACTTCCAATGGTTGGTTCTGAAATACAAAACTTCAGCTAATTATATTACTGTTTCCCTTCTTCTCTCCGCCCCCTCCACCCCAATCTTACCTTTCCCTAACAGCAAAACTATCAGAAGGAAACGTGTGCTGCTTCAGCGCAAAGCCTGCTCACTTTGCTGAAGCCTTCAACCAAGGCATGGTTAAACTCATACATAACTGAACCAGCTACCGTGCCTATATATAGAGGTTCAGGTCTGCCTTCCCCAACATTGAAAAGTAACAGTATCTCTGGCACAGGAACTGAACAGAAAGTCAGGACTAAAGCAGCTGAATTCCCCATACCATACTGTAAACACCTTAAGAGAACAAGAACACACAAATAAGTTACTACAAGGTAAAATATAATGTGGACATATGATACACTTGCTACTCAGTGATAACTTGATATTTGCCTGCCAAGTACTAGTGGCTACTAGTCTGTCCTTCTTTGCCCATCAATATCACGCTTATCTCATGCTACCTTATCCTGTTATTTCTGTGTGTAGTTAGACCCTCATGGGGGCTAACCTGTCTTCTGAACTATCTACCATTACATCCCAAATCACCCTAACACAGATATAAGCCAAAGCTTAAACTATCCACTCATTCATCAGAAACAGCTTCCAGCAGACCTGGTTTCACTCATTTGACAACTCCAACAGTTGCTGAAGTCTTAAACTAAGAAGCTCTTAAGCTATGAAGTGCATCTCACTGAAAACTTTTCAGAAATACAAGTGTCAGTAAAATGGAGGGGGGTTTCAAGCAGTCACAACTGGAGAAAGTTCACCTGGCTTCTCTATCAGTAAAGGCAACATCAGAGCACTATGAAACCTCTCAGGTTTCATCCAGGCATTACTGTTTTCTGGCAGGTCTGCAGGAAACTTGGCTCCCCTTTCCTACAGCATTACATACAAAGCTCTTACTCCTTCAACCGTTTTCTGTACTTCTTTTAAAGAGACAACATTCAGTCTCTCTCATCTGCTAATACCAGCAGCTTTGATTGATTACCTATTCATCTGCACCTTTCTGTCCTGTCCTTACTAAGAGGAGCACCTTTCCCAAATCAGGTTGTAAAGCCACTGTCTCACCCACAAGTTGTCATTCCACCTCACAGCATCTGGCGAGGCAGCCAACAAGACTATCTATTTTTGCTTACTTTCATAAAGTAACAAACAGAAGACTTGAGCTGACAACAACAAGCCCCTAACAAAGAAAGAACCAGTCATTAGAACAACAGAAGTTATTTGTCTTCTTCCCAATTTCCTATCTTATTTAGACTTCCATTTAAGCTGAGATACAATGAACTGTTTTGAGGTAGCCCTGTTCTGCTATATACTCATACAAAACAAAAATCTGGTGAAACACTGATCATGACAAGGGCCTGCACATAGTCACAATGTCTGTAACTCAGGATTGGGAGCTGTTACCAAGACATCCCTCTCTCAAAAAAGCATAATCAATACGCT